TCGCGTGCGAGCCACGCCACGACTAGACCGACCGTACACCAACCTCTCGTTTACGCATCGTTTAAATCTGTATACGCATCGAGTATTATTACTCGAAGGCATAAACTATTAATAAGATTGGAGAAAGGGAGTGTCCGAGGAATCTCGCGAAGGTATGCGCGTACTTGTTTGCCTGTTTGTAATTGGGTCCGGTCCGGTCCGGTCCGGTCCGGTCCGGCCCAGAATATTCGGATCAAAGTCCGACGAGAAAAATCACAGGTGCGGATCGAGTTGATTTCGACCGCTTATTTAATTCGTGTTACATAACTTGTGCTAAACGATACAAGCGCGAGATGTCGTTTAATTCTTGGCCTGATAAATCACACGGAGAAAGTTTGTTTGGTATATCCGTGAAATACGGATTCACAGATGCGCGACTTGTGTCGATAATTAGCGTCGATGTTTCTTATTAGCGTGTCGTTATGAAAAGTGCGCGTGTTAGCGCGCGAAATCTTGCTACCTTTGCAGACTATTTTCTTCGAGCTGTAGGACCTCGTCGACCTCGTGACATTCTACGAGAATATCCAACGAATTGGCACGAGTATCGTGCACGCGTGTACGCGTGTGTTCGGTCGGTCGGTCGATCGGTCGGTCGGTCGGTCGGTCGGTCGGTCGGTCGGTACGGTTTGATGTCGTTGCAACGCGACGACGTTTACGTTTGGCACAGCCATGCGTCTTCTGTTTCGATCGCTATGCTAAATGAGGGGTTTTTTTGTATTCGAGAAATGGACATTTCGTACCGCGAGCCCCGCGCGAATCGTCCGGATCTAGAGAAAATAGAAAACAACGTAGTAATATTCATTTTTCAGGGCAACGGCTGATGATTACACCGGAAAGGAAATAATAATGATTTGTCAGGACGAGCGAGAAAGAAAAAAAAGGAACGGAAGATAAATAAAAGGGGCGGAGATTCGAAAGTGAATTCATCTAACGAGCAAGGAAGAGCAACGTGTATCGTGATTCATACAGGATGCGAGCGATAACAAGCGAGCGTTTCCTTTTCGAGGAGATTGTAAAATCCTGTTCGTTTACTGGCGCGACGATTAATTCGCTTCGGATGCAAAATAAAATTAATAAATTTCGATCGACTCGGTCGAAAAGTAGTTACCGGTACGAAAAAGAAAAGAGTAGTCCACTTTCGCATAGTTTTAAATATGTATCCGTGACCGTGACGTTCAAGTACATTGTATGTACATACTTGGTTTGGTGGTTGCGCGTACAAGACTCGTGTTTCGAACAAAGATTTCTTTTCTTGTATCCGCGTTGATGGGCATTGCGTTCGATAGTTTAAACGAAAGTTGTCAACTAGGCGCAAATAATAGGGCGACGTTATCCATCGTTTGTTGTTTTCCGTTCGATATTACGTAAGCGTTATATCGCGGAGCTTGTAAATCGCGAATGATTCATCGTTTCGCGATGCCCGTCTGTCTGTAGATGACTTGAAATGCAAATTGCCCTCGCATCCGTCGAATGTTTTCTCATCGATCGACAACGGGAAAGCTGAAAAAGGCGCCGAACGTGATCATCGTAAGTACGAGTAAACGTTTAATCGGACGCAAAAAATTATTAATATTTATTCGGACGTAGCAAAGCGTTTGATCGTGTCCAGTTTTCGACGGATTTGTTGATAATACGCTTCGAAGGGGGATAACGAGGTAAAAGCAAGCGTTGCTCTCGATTCGCTCGAAAGGAGCGATTTCTTCCACGAAGAAGAGGAAGGAAGAGGTCACTGTATGAACGACAATTAATAAAAGTCTCTCCGGGGTCGGTGTATAAAAATAAAAATCACCCTCGCACCGTCGATAATAAATAGCGCGTGTATGGAATTTAAGTAAATGAAATCGATTATACGTAATTTCTGCTTGACTCGGTTCGATTCGATAACCTAGTTGTACTTGCTCGACGCTGTCTAGTTGTACTTCGCGTACCATCGCGTGATTATTTTCAACGATAAATATTTATTTTCCTCTATTATGTAGTAGTATTATATTATTTATTGCTTACCGTAGGGTTGGTTCCCCTCTCGCTTGTACAAGGATTACGCGTTAGAAAATACAGCGCGGAGTTGTTGCGGCGATATTTTCGAAGCAGAGTGTTGTTCGTAAAGAGACCGTGGATTAAATAATTAATGGAGTTAAGGTTAAAGTTCGTTAAACTCGAACCATGGAAGAATGCACGTTCGTTGTGCAAAGCGTAGCCGTTTTCCGACGTTATCGTTAGACGTTCTCGCGTAATTACACAGCAACCGATAGAAAGCACGCGTGCATGCGATCCAGTTGCCGAATCAAAATGCGTGTGTAACCAGCAACCAAGATGGAGAAGGGTCGAAGACGACTTTCTCGTAGATACAGTTTCTATGTATGTATGTATAGGTTTTCGCGTTGAAAGGTAAAAGCTAAAGCTAACCGAGAACCAGACCAAGAGACGCGAGCCACTCGTGTCGTTTTCTCACGCATCGAGGATGAATGCACGGGACTTTGAGGCCGGATGCGAGCCGAGAAACAGAGAAAAGGAACGCGACTGCATATCAAGACAATAGCACCACTGTACCACGGACGACCAACGTTATTGTCAATGGCAAGGTATCGTGCCACCGGCACGTTGTTAACGAGCTCCATCGAAAATAACCAAAGACCGCTTCCGGTCTCTCTGCGCCAGTCGCTGACGCGAACCAAATCACATAACAATGACACACCAACTTGGAAAAGAAAATCAGTAACAAGTCCAACAAGCATCACCGACTGGATGGATGAAAGTCGTTCGCTCGTCGATTGCTTCTCGATTCCTTTCGCTAATTGTTTGTTACGTTCAAGTTCGTGTTACGCGGGTTAGCGGTAATTTTAACAGTACCAAGCAACGCGTGCTTGAAATTTCCTTCGTCGAGGCATAAAATAAAAGAATCGACGCGACGCGTGGAGAAATTCCAGTGCTCCGTTGCGAGCAAATCGTCGATCGAGGAACCTGAATGACAAATAGAGCGGCGTATAACGCGCTTATACGCGGCTATTACACTCCGATAGAACGTACGTCTCTTCCCACCCACTTTTCGATATTACACAGGAGGTTGCCCTCTTCGAGAAGAGAGAATACGCGTATCGTGTTCTCGTAACCATCCCGATGTTTTCGTCTTTCCGTCTCTATATTTCTATAATATTTCCTAAACAACGGAGATTCGGCTCGTGGTTATCGAGCAGAATTTCGGAATCCAGAAGAAATCTTTGGCTTTCCGATGGATAGAAGAAAGATAGACGAGGGGTGTCGAGTGCAAACGGTAAAAAAATAAATACGTGATCGAATCTTCCTCGACGTTCGGATACTAAACGTTCAATCTCTCTTTTCAGGGTTACTATCGCCAGGAAAACGTGTTCCCGGTTTGATAAATACATATTTTACAGTCGGCGCGCGTTCGCGTCATTTCCCATTGCGATGCCAGCAAAGATCGCCGAGAGGATATTGCAGGAATGGGCGCGAGCGAGCATCGATTTTCTACAGTGTCGTCATCCTCGTACTAGAAAGTCTTTGATAAAGTTGGTCGTTGGTTTTGCGTGCAACGGCAAGTCCAATCGTGAATGAAACAGAAAACAGCGAACGTTGAAAGGAACAGGAGAGAAAATGATGCATTTTTTTTCTACAACGTGTTTCGTGCACAGCCTCTCTCTCTCTCGCTCGATCGCTCGCTCGCTCGCGTTCGTTTCTTTTCTTCTTTTCAAACAGTCCGATCCGATCGCTTTTAGAACGCGAATTATTAATTAAAATTAAAACGTTGGCCACAACAGCATCGTTTGATCGATGGAAAATAATTAATGTAAACGGATAGAGGAAAAACCGATGTAAAGAAAAGACTGCTGTTGCCTTTTAACAATCAACCGGGGTCTATTTGTACGGTATAAAATGTAGGTTCCTCTTTGCGTCGTAATTAAAAATTGAAAAGTAGTAAGCAGAATGAAATAGACAGGAAAGAAGTTGGCAAAAGGTGCATAATTAGTTGGTAAATTGGTGGAAATCGGGTTGATATAATCGCGCGCGAAACAAGTTAAATCGACGAATACGTTCACAGCGCGTACATTCGGGGAACCGCGTTTCGTTCCAAAGAATGCGAGAAAGAAAGCCGGCTGAACGTTAATTAAAGGCCGGATATCCTTTGCTCGATAATTAAATGGAATTTATCTTGCTCCCGAATAAACGGTAACTTTTTCTTTCTTTTTCTTTCTTTTTCTTTTTTTAACCGTTGCGGTTCGGTGTTGATTTTCCAAAGGGTAGGATCGGATTTTCAAGAAATATTTTTCAAACGCCAAAATGTGCGAGAAATGTAAGAGAGAGAAAAAAAAAGTACATTTTCTTTTGTAATTGTAGACCGGAAGGGGAACAGCTTGGACGATCTGCGCTTTATCGGCGCTTAATCGTAGTTGGTAACGTCAGTGACAAGTTGCTCTGTGTATAAATGCATCAAAGTAGGTACCTAGTTCCGTAAATACATATGTATGTAGGATTGTATGTACAGGCGACTTGGCCTGCTGGCCTTTAAGGTCAGAGGGGACGGGTTCCGGATCCGTAACGTAACCGTGAGACACAATGTTCGTTTCGAAGGAAGCGTGCGTGTGGAAACGAGAAACGTTTTACGTTGCTGTTGAAAAGGAGGAGAAACGCTGAAACGCCGAAACGCCCAGCCGATTACGGTCCTATCGATACTTGTAAAATTCCGCTGTATTAATAAGAAATAATCGAGTAGCCAGTGCAAAGGAAAGTTCATCGACGATAGATAATTTCGATAATTGCAATGGAATTTAAGCGGCACGTAGGTCGGGGTCGTAATGGGAAATTAGCGAGTGTGTAAGGTCGGTGATTAATAAACTGGTTTCGCGTTAGGCTCTGGTCTGGTAAAATAGGTTGTTGTTGCGTGTTGGTGGGAAGCCATATTGCCGTGCGACAATATACTGACGAGCGGTATATTTATTTTTCAGCAACTGAAAGATGAGCTGGGCGAGGTGGTGGCCGAAATGGAGGCGATGGAGGGTGGTGGTCTCGCGAGCGACGAAACGAAGCCATCGAACAAGGCTAAGCAGACGTCGATCGGCCGTAAAAAGTTCAACATGGACCCGAAGAAGGGCATCGAGTACCTGATCGAACACAACCTCCTCGCTCCGACCCCGGAGGATGTCGCGCAGTTCCTGTACAAGGGCGAAGGGCTGAACAAGACGGCGATCGGCGACTACCTAGGCGAGAGACACGACTTCAACGAGAGGGTGCTCCGGGCGTTCGTCGAGCTGCACGACTTTACGGATTTGATTCTGGTTCAGGCTCTGCGGCAGTTCCTCTGGTCGTTCAGGCTGCCTGGCGAGGCGCAAAAGATCGACCGAATGATGGAGTGCTTCGCGCAGAGGTACTGCCAACTGAACCCAAACATATTCACCAACACGGATACCTGTTACGTGCTCAGCTTCGCCATCATCATGTTGAACACCTCTCTGCACAATCCGAGCGTCAAGGACAAGCCCAGCGTCGAACAATTCATATCCATGAATCGCGGCATCAACAATGGCGGTGATCTGCCTCGCGAACTCCTCGTGGTCAGTACGCGCCTACCTTTGCTCTTTTACAACCCCATTAGAGACGCCTAACTTTATTCTTTTCGAACAACATTATACGTATGTATATGTACATCATAGAGAGGTTTACGCGCGTAACTAGGTACTTACACATGTACTTACGTGTAGGCGCGCGATGCGTGGCCAGGATATAAAGCAATTGCCGCGCTTTACAAGTCGCTCGCCGGATCGTGATTATTAGATGAATACACGGGGCTAACGGGCAACTCCATTGCATTGATTCCTTAATGATAGATTTATGCAAAGCGACGTCGCACGATACGCGACGAACGACGCGATCGACGCGATCGACGCGATCGACGCGATCGACGCGATCGACGCGTATACTCTGCTCGTACGCAAACGTGATTCACAACTTAAATTAACAGCGTGTATCTCGTTTTTCCCAGAGCCTGTACGAAAGTATAAAGACGGAACCGTTCAAGATACCGGAAGACGATGGCAACGATTTGATGCACACGTTCTTCAACCCGGACAAGGAGGGTTGGCTCTGGAAGCAAGGTAATTGCTTTCGTGCACTCGTACCGTAAAATACAATTTTCGCGTCCCTTCTCGCGTTTATCTTTCTCACCCGGTGTCCTCTTGGATCGGAATATGTATATCTACGTGTCTCTTTTTCGAGAAGCTCGCGCACCGCGGATATACATATGTACATCTTGGAAACGTTTATGATCCTTGCTAGCTGATTCGATTTTAATAGAAAACAATTGTTCCTCCTTTCTTCAACGGATCGCGATCGTTATTCCTTAACTGTAAATATTTTCTCTTCGTGCCGTTTAAGAGACTGCGAACCGAGACATTTTGGGGATCGCTGTGTCGGAAAGCACCACACACCTTGCCAATTACAACACGACGATCGTCGAGTCTTTCTCTTTTTCTCTTTCTCTCTCTCTCTCTCTCTCTCTGTACCTACTTTTTTCTTATATCGTATCGCTTTGTCCCTCTGCTGCCCTGACGGAGACAGCAGGTAAATAACGCATCTGGCATCGTGCATCGATCCTCGGCTTAAAACGAGCCGTTTCATGTTCCAGGCGGACGTTACAAGAGCTGGAAGAGACGGTGGTTCATACTGAACGACAACTGTCTCTATTACTTTGAGTATACCACGGACAAGGAGCCACGAGGCATCATCCCGCTGGAAAACATTCAGGTCAGAGAGGTGCAGGATCGGCACAAACCGCACTGCTTCGAGCTGTACGCCGCCGGTTCCGAGTTCATCAAGGCGTGCAAAACAGACAGCGAGGGAAAAGTTGTCGAAGGTATCCGATCCCGATCGTGACGAAAGATTCGCTTCTCTCGGTGATATTTTTCTCGGAAAGCTTGCGATCGTCACGCAATACCTACGTAGAATTAATCGTTTGGCCAATTGCTGCGTAAAATTCTCTAGTCTCTAGTCTGTCTGTGCGAAACAAACGGTTCTCCCATCTTCCACTTTTAATCGTTGTTATTTCTCGTTTATCGCAGGTAAACATACCGTGTACAGAATGTCTGCAGCCACGGACGAAGAGAAAGAAGAATGGATCAAATGCGTGCGGTAATAATTGTTGCGTTCTTACAACATTTTTTCCAAACTCGACTACGCGATTATTCGTTTGGAGGAAACCGATCGAGTTTTACCGTTGTAAATACAATATTGTTTTTACAGGCAAAGCATATCGCATAACCCGTTCTACGATATGCTTGCGGCCAGAAAGAAGAAGGCGCAGAAGACTAGCGTGCACTCGAAAAGCTAAACGTCGCCCGGCCGCGCGCGCAGCTTCGAAAGAAGCTTGTTGAGACACAAGACTGTCGATTTACGAGCCTGCGTCTCGTTGCATCAGGATCCTCGAGTACGTACAATCAAACGCATACGAAATTGTATATATCCGAATAGACTGCCGCCACCGGCCGCGCGCTGATAATCTCACAGTTGAACGACTTTACGGTTATCTGTGCGCGCACGATCATTTATCGTCAACGTCACTTGACCGTGTTTCTTACGTTTCTTTCTTTCTTTCTTTCTTTCTTTCTTTCTTTCTTTCTTTCTTTCTTACTTTCCTTCTTTCTTTGTCTGTCTGTCTGTCTGTCTGTCTGTCTGTCTGTCTGTTTGTTGATCGATCGAAAAGCAAGGAGAACAAACGACGATCGGTATTAAATATTTTGGAAAAATAACTCGCGCTAGTGCGCCTTAAAAAAGGCCTAGATATTGGAATTATGTGAATAAATTCGATGCCAGATTCGAAGCGTTTCCCTAATGATACGCACGGAAATCATCCGCTTAATTAATCCTTCACGGGACAAACTAGCTAATTTTTACTTTCGTCGAACGAGAACATTGGACGAGTACAAGATTGCCAAGCACGGAAAATGACGAAATTTCGTGATCGTCTTGTTCGTTGCTTCAACGGTCCTTAGCAAAGTATCACGCGTATAACTTACCGAGAGAAAGAACTGTGATTTATTCGTTCTGAACGGAAACGAAACGAAACGAAACGAAACGAAACGAAACGAATCGAATCGAAGAGAGTGAAATGTTTCGTGTTTCCTGGCGGCAGCTTTAGAAAATTGTCGATCGTCGAGACTTTGTTTCGCGTCTCTCGAGGATACGTGAAATATTTATTTTCTATAGATTCTTTGTACGCAAAAATATCATTACGCGTACACGTTTCTTTCGTGTCGTGGGACAAAGACTCACGGTTGTCAATGTCGAAACTCGCGAGATCGAATCGGTAAGATGCGTGCGTGCGTGCGTGCGTGCGTGCGGAGTGTGCGTGCGTGCGTGCGTGCGTGCGTGCGTGCGTGCGTGCATTATTGTGATAGTCGTGTATTTATTTAGAAATTAAAATAAAACCTCTATAGATAAGAGAGTAGCTAATATGTTTATTTGATATGCCAGAATTGTTCCGAATTGCACTTTACCGTACAGTTTGCGAGTATGATGGCATCGTGAGCGAAGCAACGCGGTCTATAGGCTAGAACGCGATATCGTTTTTCTTTTGTTTAAATGTACGTATGTATGTATGAGTATGCATACGTATCTATACATATATGTATGCGGCCACGCGCGCACGTTACATGCGAGTGCACATACGTATAGCAATGTAGTAATAGTTACACTAGTGCAGGAAAATTAAGAATAGCAATTTGATGAAATCCAATTAAGAGCCTGTATCCCGGACAGTATTCGCGGTCAATCGTGTGTGTGACATAAATTTCTACATGAAGCCATAATCGAGACTCGAGAGATTCGTACGCGTTAACCACCGAATGTTCGAAATAATTCACCCATGTTATTATCAAGGTAAACCATGTTCGTTACCTTTACCGCGCCTTGGTTCTTCCGAAAAACATTCGATAAAAAATGTTTTCCAACCAGTTTCTTTCATTCGGTTTCTGAATATTTTTTATTCGATGAAAATAGCCTTTTCATATTTCCGAGTATATCGATCACTACTAGTCAGAATAATATTCGTAAAGCTATTTTTATCCACGAGTGTCGGAATTATTTTTTTTTTCAAAGTTCCTTTCGATCCTCTGGTATATGCGAGCAATCAGTCTTTATGCTCGCTGTTGTTTGATCGTTTCTATTCCCGGACAACGTAAGTACGTGTCTGTCTTAGATTTGGGAATTTCAAAATGTAGATTCTTCCGGCTTATTGACGGTTACCATGGATTCTAGCGAGCTTAACTCACACTCGTGTTTCGTATCATGTGTAAATGAGAAAAATAATAAGGTAAAGATGCGGGTGTCTTTGAAATCTTGTTCAAGCTAGTCGTAACAGCTGATCATCCGTTGTGAGTCGAGTCGAGTCGAGTCGAGTCGAGTCGAGTGTGTATACGAGGTAATGAAAATTCAAAGGTTTACGTTCTTCTTTGCTACGTACAAGGAAATGTTGGACATCGAGAAACGCCTTATTACGATACATTAAATAACGAAACGCAAAAGTAATTGTAGAGTATAAGTTTTTTAACGTCATGCCGTACTCGGTAGAATGTAACTATGTTACGAAACAGTAAGATTTCTATTCGATCGTAATTTCGAAGAAACGCGCACTTTCTATTTGATCATTGATAAACAATTGTTTCATCGCCATTTACCCGTCCTTGACTTAACTTTGTACAAACTACTTTTTTCTCTCTCTCTCTCTCTCTCTCTCTCTCTCTCCCTCTCCCTCTCACTCTGTTTTTTTATACTACCTAGAACCACGTACGTGAATGAATTAAGAGTTCGGGTGTATCGATGGTCGTTATTTGTCTTGAAACGTCAAAGAGCACGTTTCCTTGCTTCCACACGATACTACGGTAACAGGAACGAATTTAGATATAAAAACTGGTCCATACGTCGATAGGAGCTGTGTAAAGTTAGTTTAAATAAATTACTTTGGCAATTCGTTCACTCCGTTCGTATTCGTGTTTCCCTAAAAATTATTTTACGGTTAATGTAATATTATTTATTTTCAAAATAACGAATTGATTATCTTTACTATTCCATCCAGTTGCCATTATTTGATCAACGAGATCTGATACTCGATCGTTTCGAAACGTTGCCCATCTACATATTTTCAATAATACCGTGAATTGAATACCGATAACTAATTAGAAAATACAGAAAATTGTTATTTAATGAAAACTGTACAGCTAATGGTAAAGAAAGTTTTAAAGAATGAAAATCATCACGATTAAAATATGTTACGACTTGAAGTTTGTGAGAAAGGTCCAAAAGTAATTATGTAATTTAGTCGGGTAAACCACAAAACGGATCTTGGTTCGTAGTTTGTGTTTCTCTCGTAAAGTAATTCGAATAAATCATAGAAATGATATTTGCGTAGAACGATGCAAACTTGTATGATTAGTAAGGTAATTAATTCATTATAAGAATTGTATAAAGAACTGTACTTGACTGCAGACAATTTGTACATTTTGTTGTATATTATTTTCACTCGATAATTGTTATGTATTGATATTGATCTGTGTACTGTACCCTACGACCTTGTATGTATTAATTTAAACATAATTAATAAATATTTCCATTTCGTAAAAAAAGATACATGTGTTTCCTGACTCGATTTGTTAACTTTCAGCAATGGTCAGCAGAGGCCAGCGGAGGCTGGCAGAAGTCAATAGAGTAATCGTAGTAATCGTTGTGAGAAATATAAGCGGTGACGAGCAGAGGCCAGCAGAAGCCAGCAGAAGAAGGCAGCAGAGGCTGCCAGTAGCCAGTAGTAATCGTTATACGTTGTCGGAAGTATCAGGAGTGGTCTCAAGCGGCCAGCAGAGGCCAGCGGGGCCTCTAAGGAAATTAAAAAGTATGTCGTGGCCCAATCTGACTGCCATACCGACCTGACAAATTCCGAGGTGATTGTTACCGTCCTCTTCTCATGGAAAAATTATTCACTGAATTGGTATTGATAGGCAAACAGCTGTAGTGTGCGCGTAAATACATGTCAATTGACTATGGGAGGGATTAAAATTCATTTTTGAATCTGTTGGTAACGTTGCGGCGAGTGACACGGAAATGGTAATGGGATTTCGAGAACCCATAAAAATGGGTCGAAAAAATACATTGGGTGAAAGATGTACTCGTATACCTCGTCTCTGACAATACTCTAGAATCTTTGGTGAATCAATGAGAATCGAAACTAAGCTAGCGAAGAAGCTCTATATTTACGATGACCTGTGCAAAGCGGATCGCAGCCAATTTGCTAATATTATTTAGTTTTTAATTGATAATTGCATTACCCAGCCAAGAGTGATACGATCATTAATTAAACGCTAAATAATATTACCCAGGTCTCACCACGTGGAGGTTGCTGCGAGTGGAGACCCGAAGGGATATAGATGGAATCAAAGTTCCATCGATCTCCCTTTTACATTCTTACAAGCTAGATTACTAAACCAGAGAGATAGAAGGAAGCAATGTTCCTTCGATCTTCTAGTTTAGTTGTACCAAGTAATTGTTTCGTTTAAAAAGGGATGAAGCTATATTGTGGGATACGCGACGCGATGTCGATCAGCAGTGATCGATGCAAGGAACGAGATACGCGACACGCGAACCGAGTAACTGGTAAAAAAAGTCAGCTCCGTTGCCTCTCGGCAAGTCCGATCGAAGGGTAAGTGAATCGACGCACCCGGCACAGAGGTTCCCCATTTCTCCCACGCATCCTGTTGGGAGCCAGATGGACCCAACGCGGGACGGCTGACTGAGAGAGGGAGCGTGTGTCGGGGCTACCGCAGACAGGAACAGTCCCTGATCCCCTCTGCGGCCGAAATACGCTTTCTCTTGGATCGTCTCGCCAGCGGACGGCAACTGACCCTTCGGATCAGCTAAACGGCCCATCACTTGCTTTCTACATCGAAGCAGTGGTGACCGGAACGAGAAACGGGAGAACGGGTGAACAAGAAGCTGGTTGGTAAAGAATTACTTGGCACATACGCAGACGCATACATGGGAGTCGTCGATGCTTATATCTAATTTAAATCTACCAAGCAATTATTTTGTTTAAAAAGGGATGAAGGTAAATTGTGGGATACGCGACGCGATGCTGAACCGTGCAGCGGATGAACTGGACGAGAAGAAACGAGAGAACGAGTGAACGAGAAGCTAAGTTAATAACTGCTTGGTATCGCGGCCTTAAAAATAAATTTACGCAATGTCCCGCGATGTCCAACGATGTCCCACGATAATAAAGGCCTGTAAGTAATCTGAAACAAACTAAAGAAGGTGGCGGCATTTACGATTAGTTAAACAATTAAATATAATGAATTGATAAACACGAAGCCCCGAAATAAAATAAATGGGCCCAGAGAAACCAGCGACGTAAAATAGACACGGACAAGAGCACAGCATGCATATATGTACACCAAGCAACATTAAGACAAGAATAAAATACGGGAACAAACACATTTGCGATCAAGGAGTCAGAGAAATAAAATATGTAAGGAATCCAGAGAAATGAAAACGAGGTGAAACGATAGATTCAAGCCCAACAGACATTTGAATGTCGAAAAAGAAGTGATAAATTGGAGATTGACATATCACTCACCACTGTGTCGATAGTGGTCAATGAAACAAATTTGTACATGCGATATAAAATGTGCATCGAACAAACCAAGGAATAAGTAGCGAAATATGGAAGGAGACCAAAGAAGTAAAAGTAAAATGAAACCCCACGTTCAAGCCCAACAGACGCTCGAAGGTTGGAAAAGAAATTAGAAAAGGGAGATTCGGAACTCGTTCTCTGCTGGTCACTAATGGTCAGTATTGGTCAGCAAAGGTGACCAGTGGTCAGTAGTGGTGAGAAAAGGTGGAGCGCAGAGCCACGGGGGTTCCGTCACGTCCGCCAGCGCCGAGAAAGAGAGAGAGAGTGAGTGAGAGAGTCACCGGTAGGTAGCCTCAGGTAGAAGAGTCGAAGGGGTGGGGATGACCGTCCTTGGCGAGTTCACCAATTAATTGACGGTTAACCGTGCCTTTGACCGAAAAATGAATATTCTACGCAAAATGGTATTAAAAACAATTATTTATACAACCCACGCTATCGAGCATCATTTTAACTATTGCCTGATGTTAATTAATAATTATTGCAAACAATAGGTATAAAAATATGGAGAAATTTATGAACCGTAGATACGTAGAAATTACGAATACGCGTTACAGTGGCGTAATTTCTATCAAGAGACGTAAGTACATACAAACAACCGACTACATATGATACAAGCGAAAGATAAAATAATTGTTAAGAAAATATAATACGAGTCCAGTTATAGCCTTAACGCATCGACAACCGATCGAAATGTATGTATAGCAGAAACGTCGGGGTTTTGCAATTAGTACGTTTCAAAAATAATTACAGCCTCCTTCCGGAGGTGAAACCTTTTAGTAGTCGAGAAGAAATTCGTTGGCTTCGCAACCAATATAAAAGATCTGTGCAGTTATGGCAGCAATAGTTTATCGTCGTCTCTCGGAGCCTCTGTGATTCTCGTAATCGTCGAAAGAAATTTCAGAATAAACATTAGTATGTAAGTCGTTTCTTCTACATATACAGCGAGTCTCGCTCGATCCAAGACCAATTAATTACACAATTTTAGTGGTTTAATTTGACGGAGAATATTGCAAAATTTTACTACAGACACACTTGAGAGCGTTCGAAATAATTGGAATAAATTTATTTATTTATTTTACGAAGCTAAAAGAATTTATTATCTTTGGGAAATTCATTCTCCTGATTTAACGATAGAGTCTTGCTGTTTCTATCCGAAACAGAGCTACTCTATAAATATTAGACAACCCTAAACGTGAAATTTTCTACAAAGGACATCCTGGTTCGTCTCGATCGTCGCCTTAATTACATTTATGGAACTCGCGACGGGGAACACCTCTTCGAGCGTTGAAAGTCCTGTGATGATGACGCATAATTTTCCTGACGTGGTAAACGGCCAAATCGCAAACGTTATCTCTCTTGTTATATTTTTCATCGAATCTCGTTGAATTTTAGATGAAAACGATAGAGGATAATCCAGACGACAGAGGGGTTAGATTGTGTCAGATAGAGTATCAAATGGTACGTTTCATCTTTAAAACGTTTTATACGATGTACATAATGAACACGATATCTGTTTTAGACACGGAGAAGAGCTGGAAAGTGCGTGAAAATAGGCCATGGAATGACCGGATGTATCTCCGGAGACTATTTGAATCCTTTTCATCCGGACTGCTTCTGAGCATAAACACCATCTCTCGAACCGGCCGGGCATTTCTTCTGCATCCCGATACTGTCTCGCGATCTTAACTTGTGTTACCGAGTCTATTAAAATAGGTTTACCAATTAATAGATAAAAATATATCGTACCCCGTATTCGTCGTAATGGATTATTTAAACACTTTTTACACTTTCTTGAACACCGTATTGTCCTTAAGGAAGAAAGAGGCGATAAATCTAAATTGATCACTGATTGCGACCGCAAGGAATTGTTTCACCTCCCACGAGTGGATGTTAGGGACAACTGGAAGAAATATTCCACTCGAAAGACGAATGGCCTGGATCTCCGACACGTTCGATCCTCGATTAAGACAAAGTGGCTTTCGTATAAATTTCGTTAGAGGTTCGCGCGGTGCACGGTGGGGCTGTGCCGCTATAAAGTCTTGGCAAAGTCGAGGATGTCTGCATGTTCAGGATGGACGGGGTTCGAGCGTTGCCGAGCATTTCTATGGTCCTGCTATTTTGCTTCTCTTCGTTCACCCATGGAAGCCATGGAACCGCCTTTCCAGACGATTTCGGTGAGATTTCCCTTCGGATCTTGCATCGAAAATTTCAGTTAAAATGTCGTTTGATCGCAGATCGAAAGATAGAAACGCTGTACAAGGTAGTCGATTACGTTTATCGCAGACCCCATCAAATGAACGCCGACGTCACCTTATCCATCACGATCGTCGAAGGTAAAAGCTATCGATAAATAATAGAAATCGATCATCGAACACTTGACACTTATTTTTCCCAACAGCTAACACAGCCTCCATGTTTTCACACAAAAACAAGAAATACCTGGGAGACGAACGCTACAGAAAGATGCGATCAATTTTCAATCGGTGCGTCGCGATTCGGAAATATCTGCGCCGTAATGTTGTGCCAAAAACCAAGGACATGCAAGTGTGTGAGTGAATTTTCTTTGAAACGAAAAGTTCTCTTTACCTCTTCACCATTTCGTGAAAGTAAAGTAAAGTAAACGAATTCCAGTGCACGAATCGTTGAGTAGACTTGGTCTCTGGCTGCGACATATTTGCTGGCAAAACGGCACCTTGAAGAAGAAGAGTCCGACCCCTGGATTTACCGAGCAAGACGTTCTCGATCTGGTGATGCAAGGAACGCCGAAGGAAGAGGAGAGCGATCGATGTCTGGCTAAAATCGTTCGGAACAAATTAAACTCGATCAATGGAATGCCAGAAACGTGCGTGGAGATTTTGGAGAGAGACGATCGCGTCAGAGGATACCCACTCGTCCACAGATTGTTCATCATCCAAGTTGCCATGGCGGTCCGTGATAATTTTCAAAAATAATCTTACTTTTAAGAAGGTTACTTGATAATTCCTAGTCCGTTTCAGACCGGAGTCGCGGTTAACGTCCCCTGCGATCTGCTGGTCTTGTATTGTTCCGCCATTTTGCAAGATCTGGTCGACATCGAGGCGGCTGGTTTCCCTTTCAACACTCCGGATTTAATGATGGAACAAGGTAAGGGTGAATCGACTACTCAATTATTTTATTACATGTTATATCTCTGGTATATTTCTGGTACTCGAAGCTCTTTTGTGCGGAATGGAAGGCTTCCTCGAGTTCACTGGGAAACGTTACGAGCGATTGTTGATGAGCTTCCCGCATCCTAATGGCTGTTTCAGTTCGTTCAGGTATACGTTCTTTCCTAACAATTATTCACATTTTCAAGCCTGATCGTTGGAAATTTGTTTGCCAAAAACAGATTTCCCGACAACCTGTCGCCGCACATAGTCCGAAGAACATCCTCGAAAACGGACTTTGACTGCGACAGCCATACCACGGGTCTTGCGGCTGCGTTACTTTCCTTGTTCATTCGCGAGAACATGGAAAATCTATTACTATAGACGTAAGACACGATAAAATAACTTATTCATCCTAAAAAGTATTTTTCTTATCCTCGTAGCTTTCCTCGTCCTTGGAACGGTCATAATAACTTTTATCTCTCCGCGTGTAGTGTTTAAAAGAAGAATAATTTCAATAAATAACAATAATTAGAAACGAATACGCGTTAAAAAGACGTGTACGAGAGGAGTGGGGAGTGTGTGTGTGTGTGTGTGGAAACGAAACTGAGGAAAATAAATAAGTCAGTCGTTAACCTTGCGTAGGAGAGACTGGTTCCAAGCGCGGTGAGGCAACGCGTATATTTTTGCATACGCTTAACATTTTCGTTATCCTTGAATACGGAATCTATTTCCGTACCGCGGAGGAATCAGCCTCCTCGCTTTTTTTTATATGGCGCTGCGCCGCGCCGGCAGTGTCGGTTTTCCTCCCGAAGAACAGAGTCTGTAAATTCTTCTCTCCGATTGATTATACATACATGTATATTTATCTCGTTTCCGGTATCTAGAACGCGTCCACTTTACACGAAAAATAAATATCATAGTCTGGAGAAAATATGTAATTGCGTAATCGCACGATAGAGTATACCAATTGCGGTGTTATTATAATTGCATATCAGATTGTATTTTCCCCGACTATATTGCACCCTCGAACGATATAAGGCTTCTCTGCAAGTCCCATTCGAGGAGGCAGCTCCGTCGGCCATAAACATGCTCGTTTCTACCGTTCGCGATTAGTAATGCATTACGAAACGTAATCAATTAATAAACGTTTCGTCGGGGTCGAGGTCGAGGTCGCCTCGTGCTTTGGTGCTATTTCGCTAATTGAACTTTAAGCGACTCCTCTCTCTCTCTCTCTCGAAGCAATTAGACCGTTTCACGAGTCGATCTTCTCCTTGTAAAAAAACAGTCTAATCCCTTCGGGAGGGCGAGACACGTATCACGATCTCTCTTCTGTTTCTCGCGGGCTCATCGATTCATTTTTCCGTGCTCTTCAAGGTCGTCGATAATTGTACGGCCTTCCGTACGGGTCGATTCTGTTGTTCAATTTGTCGTACCTCATCTGCTGGAAGTAGCTGTACACCACCAGCCACAAGTACGTGTAAATCACTGCGAACAAATATCAAATCCTTTGTCCATCGTTGATCGAACGATCGTGGAAATTTGTTTACTTGGACTTTGAATGATTTTGATGAAACTTGCGAGTAAGATAAAGCGTATAATTTTAAGGAGAACGGGAACGATGAAACGGCGGACTCACCGACGGATACGAAGCCAACGACGAGCCAAAGTGCACCGTTTATGACTTCGTGATTGACGAAGAACATGATGGACGTGTAAACGACGCTGACGAGCAGGCCAACCGCTAGGATCAAGCCCAGAACCACCCATGGCAGCATCATAAACGTGTTTTTCTGCAAACAACAGGAGCTTGGTAAATCTATGCAACGGTCATCATCAACGGGTGGGTAACAGTCACGATCTATTGGCAAAGTATGACGATCGTATATTCGATACAAGAGGTGGTCGTTTACCTTGAGGGCGCCAATTATGAGCAACATCGAGATCAGAATCGTCATGCAAAGGTTTATTGCGAAAATGATTCTGACGATGCTCTGATCCAGCACGTCGATCAGTATCGTCTTCCACTCGACGTTCAGTGTGAAGATCATGATCAACGAGACGATCGAGAGGACCTGAATGCAAATAATTTTAATAGACACTTTAAGACGGTAAACGTAGTCTGGTAAACGTAGCGATCGATTTACTCACGATGCCGAGTATTCCGGTGAATATCGTCCCCGCTTTCAGCGAGTAGCATCCGCAACACGTCGAGAGCTGCATCCTGCAACAGATTAACGCAAACATGGAATTATTTTATTTCTCGATAGGTTCGAAATCGTGGGACGGGCGTACAGTTTACCAGGAGATCACGAACGGACGCGGACGCGGTTCGAATTTAGATCACGAATAGAATTAGAGTCCCGGTGCTAGCGTATTTTTAAAACCGATCGACAACCGATTACTCGCAGAGTATTTTCTATTTATTTACCATATACCAGACCTTGTTTCACATACAATAATGTTTGCGAGTTAGAAATGGCATTACTGATTTTTATTAACGATCCATTGAACTTTTTGTTCGTAACGTAGAGTTACGGTTCTTGGACAATTTTCTGTGAAATTAATTGGTCGTAAAGGCCGATCGGCCGACCGGCCGACCGGCCGACCGGCCGACCGGCCGACCGGCGTCCTTCCTTTCGGAATCGTCAACATCGAGCAGCACAATGTTTGCTAGTCGACGTGGCGTAATCGTCCCATTAACATGTTGTCGAGTTACTACGCGTCGTGTCTGACGCCACGTCGTTCACCTTACTCACTTTTATTTCAGTCTGAACACGGCGTAGAAATGTCGAAAAATGACTCGCGTACGTAAATGAGAATACCTCGCTGATTCGGCGCCATTCGGAACGTGGTGGCGGCGGCGGAGGTGGCGGCGGATCATCTTAGAATAGAGGGGAAAATGGGCCATTGGCATAGGTGGTGAGCCTCTATTTTCGTTTCTTCTTTCGGTTTCTGTCCTCACCGTTGCTGACCTTCCTTTCTGCGTTTATTATTCTCGCGAACGGTCGCATCCGGCCGGAAAGGAAACCTCTTGTTCGCGAAAAGGAAGCGCCTCGTCGGAAAAGAACCCTTTTGCAACCGACAGTGCCTACATATAATCGTCACGCTCGGTTAAATTATTTTTAGCTCGTTCTTTTCTTTATTTATTTACACGCGACAAGATAGAAACCGATAGAGATAGGAGGAGAGCCTCGGGGATTTGTTAGTCGGTCGATTTCAGTCCCGTATCGTTAATAAACGCGTGTAGGGTCTGGGTGAGATGTTTTCTCAGCGATCGCGTTTCACGAAAACACTGTACCCCGTCGATACGGCTAACCGTTCAATTAAGCGGCTGGTAATATAACGTTAATCAGGATGAGAGCCGCGGTGCAAACCGATATCTGGAGCGAGGTTCGAGGCTGATCGTGGTCACGGTTAATTCACCTTCCGCGATTGGACGTTGTGTCACCCGCAGCCTGAATCGACGATCCTTACAAGGTTCGCGCGATCGAAACGGAGGAAGCGAGATTGTCTGACGCTGACTCGGATCTACTACTGATCATGGTCAGCCACCACGCGTCCGTTCCCTTCGATTTCACAGAAAAACGAGAGGGGAATGTCAGAGGGGAAAACAACACCTATGGAACAGCAAACTATCTTGTTACACATGTGTCGATCACTCGAGCCACCGATGGAAAAATTCAATCGTTCGAACGTGAAAATTTTACGTAGGAGGAATATCTGTGAAAGTTATTGCTCGATAACGCGAAAATCGCTGCTTATTGCTGACTCGTCCTACACGATTACCGTTAGATCTTATTACAGGAGAAACTTTGACGGATCGAATTGCAAGGACAGTAAAAGTCGACGGTGTGGAGGTGTTGCTGATCGCGATCGAGCCACGCAAACCGCGCGCGTTCCTCCTTTCAATTTCACGGATAAAAGGGAACAATTACGTTGTTGGAGCGTGAAAGTACGCTAGACGGAAAATATCTGAAAAAGCAACCGTTGCGTAACATTTATTTTACCGTTCGAATTAACAACGGTAAGAATTTGTTTCTTCAACACACACAGTTTCACTGCCACGAAACAACGAAAAGTTGTTTCTTCTTTGAAACGTTCCTTTGATCGAGCATCGAAATAGATTTTTCGATCGAAAAGATGATCAGTGAGGATGAATGGCGACCGTGAGACGATCGGTGGTGGATAACGCGTGGCCGTGACTGTCATGGCGACGCGACGCGACGCGACGCGACGCGACGCGACAGGCCCCATAAGGAAACGCATCTCGATCTCGATCCGTTGTTCCCGCGATTTCTCCCGTTTGCCTCGCGCAAAAAGGAAACGCGTTATCCAGCGCGTACTACGAAGAACCCCTCGACGTTAAAGGGTGCATTCCATCGCGTTGAAGAACGCGGAACGTAAATTTACCGCCTGCGCGCAACTAAGAACGCGCGGCGCTATAAACGGCGATGATACGTCGAATTAGGTCACAGCTTAGGTGAATCGTCCGACGACTCGTGTCAAAGGCGAAACCGCGAGAAAATTCGCGACGATTCTATCGAACGGCACCGAATAAATTAATCGGCGTGTTATCGCGCGTGGGAGATTTCGTTCCGTTCGGCGAACGTAATGGAAACGTGACTCGAGCGTTCTTCTGCACTTTGACTCGCGGTTTGTGCGTCGAGTCTGTTGCAAAAACGCGTTGCGTCACTCGACGGAGGAGATCAGCGGCTCGAGAGGCTGTTTTCCTCGAGACGGCGGCAGAAACACGAGCGCAATCCTCTTCAACTTTTAACTCGCGAGAATCTTCGGACCTATGCACTTTGTGGAAAGTGTCGCGCGCGCGCGCGCACGCGCGCACGCGATCCAATCAACCATTTATCGTTCAAAACGTATGGAAAATATACATATGTATATCAAAACGAAAAACGATGTAAAAAACAATTGTTGTCGCGCGTTAAATGAATTTGCTCGTGAAAGGATTGAATTTTCGGCGGGCCACGTGCAGTAAAAATAGAAAACCACTTGACACGCGTGTTCAGGGTGCCTGTAAAATTATTCCCGAGCCCCCGATTTCGTTTTCTTCGACCAGGCCACTGGTCCTTACCTACGGAGGATCGATACACCGTCGCGAGCTTTTTATTTAGAATCCCTTCGATCCTCGAGCGTGATGAAACGCGAACCTACCTACCCCTCGAACACGATAACAGAAATAGTAGACCAGTAGATCACGCCTTGTTCCTTTCTTTCGTTGGATCTCTATCCAAGATGTTTGTTTGTTTCCGAAGCGTCCGCGACCTCCGAGTCAGGTGTATCATCGAGAAATATCGATTATGCGTCACGATCTGCCTCTTTCGTAACCACATTCCGCAATCTCCACGCAACAAGGAAAAACTCTAACCAATTCTGTTTCGAGTCGTCAAGGCCTCGTCGATACTATACATATTTCTTATTCGAATTAGTCGAGTCTGGATGATCCCAACGATCCAAGAGGAAATCTCCTACTTGTTGTCATTATATTTTCTCTTGTACCATACACCAATGGATTTTTACCCGTATAATAAATATAATGGATAAACGTTTATAATAAAAAAAAAAATCTAGCGGTATCTTTCAGCGAGTAAATTATGACTCGAAATGGGTGCATCGAATTGAATATTTGATACGCAGTTGATGGCACGATTCTCGATTCGCGCAAGTTTCTTAGGATTCGCAAAGAGCGGTCGATCGAGAGATCCGCGCGATTCATGACGCCGCGCCGCGTCGCGCCACCGAGGCGATTTGCTGCGCACTTTATACATATACGTGTCTTCATGGTTCGTTCGCGAACGCGAGCCTGGCCTCCTTTTACTTTTCGCGGCGTACGACTTCGCGGGCCATCCTTTTGCATCCGTTGTTCACAATTTTCGCACACCATCCGCGAAACCGACGCTCCTCGACCTTGCGCTTCTATTTTTTACCCGGCTCGCGCGGCGTCTCGATTTCGGTTATCTCGGTTCATCTCCGAGTGTCGCTTCTCGCAAGCCTTTCTTTACACGACCCCGACCATTTACCGCGGCGATAAACGAAATCGATAGAAAAAGCAACGCTAGGAACCGTCGAAAACATCGGAAATACAAATATTTGAAATATCGTTCGTATCTTTATTCGAGACCCATCGTGTGTTTCGGTTGTTGTTTACGATCAACGAACGGTGTCTTCGGTTCTCTAAATTCGAACCGAAGTGTCAAAAGTCTCGTCCAAAGATCAGACGATTGCATTTAAAAGAAAAAAAAGTACAGTTGCACTTTGCTGTCTGTTATAGCCTGACTGACCCAGTTACCGGAATCGCCGCGTATAAAAACCTAACAAAATATCAGCAGTTGTGCGTAGATTGGAAAACCTCGAGTACGATCTGCTATTGCGTGCCTTGAGTTTACATTAATTTTAGTCTCGCGTTATTCGATGGAATTTTCTTACCTCGAACAGGATCTAAATAAATTTGCTGAAAGAAGAATTTTATTTCTCACTGGCAGCAAGCTTCCACGGTTATCTTCGCGGAGCGTGTTTCCCAAGACCCAGCCCGGCCCGGCCCGGCCCGGCCCGCCGCGGCGACGGAATTTTTAACGTTATTTGCACACCGTGCATCATTTACGATAAACATACGCGCGCAGTTACCGTGGTAATTTTTATCGCGTGTCCTCACGGCCGTCACGATGCGTTTTCATTGTACATACAAGTGGATCGAAGAAACGTCGATTCGCCGGCGGCGGCCGATTATACAATTCCCGGCGATTACCTTCAATTACCACGGCTGATAGTTTCCTCCGTTTATCGCGGACGAAAATCGAGTACCTTTCAACGATAACGACTTCCCTTCTTAAGCGCTTCAATTAATTTTACCGGTCTTTTATTTCACTGTAACGGCGTCAACGATCCAGTGCTTTTAATTATTGCCCGAGCTTGCTACGATCTAACTAAAACCACATGATTCCCGGCTCGCAGAATAATCTCCCGCGAATATGTACATGGATCTGTACAAAATGTTTTAGTTATTTCATTGCGAGTCTATGACGCAACCACTATTAATAACGAACGTAACAAGTTGGAATTATTTTCACGATTATACATATGTCCTCGTGTCTGTCGCTGTTTCCCGAGTAATCGTTCGAAAGGGGCGCCAAGTTTCGCTTGGAATCGGCGCGGCACGGCGCGGCCGCTTCCAATCGCCACCGTGTTCACTTTAAATTAAAATCGAACCATCCACCGATCACTTTTCCAATTTTACCGGACGATTTTCGCGCCGTTTCGACAGAGACGACAATTTCAAGTTGGTTCGTGCTACTCACTTTTCACCGAGCGACGAAACCGACGAAAACGGAGGTCCCCGCAGGAAGAAGAGACAGTTTGCACAGCCGGGGAAAAGCTCTCGAGGGTGAAACGGTGGGACGGAGATTCGAGAGAAACGCCGGTTTGGTAGCCGCGAGGCGTAACGAAATTACGCTTAGGTCAAGCGCGGTCCGCTCGCAATAGGAGATGGTCAGAAACTGTGCCAAGAACAGTACGCCGCCAAGCCAAACCGCGAAGCTGTACACCTACGACCTACCACGCGTACACCTACACCGGTGGCTAACCGACGCACACCACCGTCGCGACGCGTCGCGTCGCGTCGCGTCGCGTCGTGTCGCGTCGCATCGCGTCGTGCCGAACAGCGCCGATCTGCTCCTCTGATTCGTTCGCCGCTCGCTCGATACCCGTAAACTGTAAATTGACTGAAACGTTGGCTGATTTTTTTCTTCAAATTTTATCAGCACCGATAAAAATACAACATTTAACATCGAACGCACGATGAAAACCGATTAAACGAGTTGGCTGTACAGAGTACAGAAACAGGAACCGCGTTTAATCAAGTATATTAAGCTCGTTTAGGGGACACGGTAAATGCCATTGCTCGAATTAAACGAACCTGCTCTGCGGAGATCGATTCAAGAATTTACAAACAAATGTAGGCAATAAAGGGAATAAAATTTATTCCGTTTAAACGTCTTTTGATTTTATGGAACGAGAAATTGGTATGGCACTGCGATCCGTGCCCCTGAAACTATGCAACACGAATCACGCTGCCGTCTCGACGGCCGTGCTCGACGTCAAAACTCGTTTTGCCCGACGCTTCCTCGCTTGTTTTCGATTGTCTGCCTTCGATTGTTATAACGACGAAACCGTTCGGCAGAGAAAACGTGCTCGCGTCCAAATTAACGCGTTGACGGACAACGAACGTCCATTGTGAAATTCCCGGGTGATCGTTAGAGCGGAGGTACCGGTGATCGAGGATTCTTCAATCGACAGACCAGGTCGACGATGATCGGCTTCGGTGAAAGCGACGACTCGCTGGTCTTCCGGCTCCTTCGAAAGTTTCGTGTTCCTGATGCCTAGCTTCCTCGGGCATTTCCTTGGCTTCTCCTTTCGGACGGAACTGTTGATAATGAACCTCGTGGGCTTGGTGAATATCTCCGTCTAAATCTATCTGCTTTTTGCTCCTCCTCCTTTGCGTTTCTAACCTTCCATAACCTACGATTCTACGATTCGACGTTTCGACGTTTCAACGTTTCGAGGATATTTCGAAAGAGAACCCGACCCGATCCATCGAACGGGAATTCATTTACCATTTTACCGGAATTTAAATATGCGATCGATAGCTGTAAGTAAGTAAGTACTTACTTAGGCACCTTTGTTTGTCTCGTTTCAATGGCGAGGCGCCATTTTCTACTTCCGTCTGTTATAACCTCCATTTTACGTCCTTCTTTCTTCGACTCTTCCTTCTATTTATTTTTAAATAAATGATTTTTTATTATTATTATTATTATTATTGTCGTTGTATCGTTTTAAAGATTAACAGCACGTTGGACTGGAGCCCGTTAAAATGGACAAACGAACTCGAACGTATTTCAAATTTATCTTTATCCCAAAGTGCACTGATTCTTGATACCATCGGCGAGGACACGATCAAAACTGGTAAAAATTTGCAACGTTGATAAACAGCCAATTTCGAAATTGAATCAGAAATTTCGTAGTAACGCCGAACACTCTCTGAACTTTTTTAAACGTTCTCGTTTCAGTTTTATCGTGGATCGTAATAACGCGAATCGTAATTGCCCACGTTTACACGTTCACGTACGTGACGAACATTTACCCTGTAATAACATGGAGCAGACCGAACTTACTGCTACCCTGGTTGATACTGAGCTTCTTCAAGAACGTCGTTCTCGAGGTGATCGTGATCGTGATCGGTCTTCTACTTTGGTACGAGAGCCGATTCTCGATCTTCGTGTTCCTCGAGTTCATCTTCGTGAAACTTGTGCCTCTGCGTAAGTAAATTCATTCGTCGATTATTCGTCGATTATTCGTCGATTATTCGTCGATTATTCGTCGATCGAGTTTTCAAGTCCACGTCCGGATGGACAAAATGCCGGATAAATTGTTCTTTTTTTAAACGAAATTCCAACAACCGAGATCTTATTCCGATCAGTTATGGCTACTTACAACTGGTACTCGAACTCTTGCTTGTTCCTGCAACTGCGTCACACGGAGAAAACGCGGAAACTGAAGCGATCCATGCGAAGCGACACCAATTTGCTCGCCACTCGTCTCTACACGATGCTCGAGGACTCCAAGTACAGAACGAGGTCCTTGACCACCTTGTTGTCCTGCGAGAGCCATGAAACTTACGACACGCAAGACACCATTTTGCACATCATCGATGACTCCGATCTGACGCCGGTTCAGAAAACGATGAAGCTCCTTGGACTGAACGAACGCGACATCGAGGATGCACGGATCAGGGTTCGAGAAAGAGCGGCGCATAGAAGATTGACGGAACTGGACGACGAATCCGTTATCGGATTCGCTAAACGCGATACGGATAGGCTCCTTAACTCGAACAACCGATACTCGCAACTGGCAATCAACGACGAACCTCTAAATATGGAAACGGATTCGGTAAGTGCAACTGCTTCGCCGAAACGTTGATCGAACGTATCCTATTCATTATAAATTTTCAAAATACGCGTGCGTTACTACCGTTAAACATACTACATATAGCTAAACAATTTGTTCCGTTCGTAGAGCCTGGTAATTTTCTCGGAGAATAAATTCCCGATCGACGAATCAAAGGATCCGAGTCTGAGAGTGAAAAGTCCGGGAAACCACCTAGAAATCGTTGAACGTTCAAAAACGATCGTACAAGTTCCGAAAGATGGAAACGAAACGTCCGAGCGACGCGTTTCGAGGAAGAAGCGAGCAGAGACGGACACGTTCGACGCACAGAGAACGAAGCAAATGAAGATGTGCTCTTTGTTGCAGAGACGAGGAAAGGAGACGATCGGCAGGTCGGCTCAGAAACAAATCAGACGAAGCGCGGAGAAGTGCTGCAGTCCCGTAAAGTTGCAAACTCTGTTCAACTGCAATTGCTCGTTGGCCGATCGCACCTTCGACGGGAAAGGCTGTTGCGAGATGAACGATATCGCGTTGAGGACTTCGACGCCGAAGAGCAACGTCGACGACGCGAGCATCGACGCGAACGCGGATCAGAATTTCGTTCGGAAGACGTTCGATCAGCCGTACGTGTACTCGTTCAACGTCACCAACGTCAAGACAGATTTCCTGATGAGCAACAGCTTGCCAGCGATCGAGAATTTGCTACAGAGTAACCTGAAGATGTTCAAGAACGAGAGCTTGGATAATAATCTGCTTAGGAAGGACGTGCCCGTGCAGAAGGTACTCAAAGAAGGTATTCAAGACGATGTACGGGATCTTTCGGAGATCGTGCACAATTTACCAGCGACGAATAAAGCAATACGCGTTGAATCAACCAACACGACCGAACGAGAAACCGTGATCGTTTCGAAAGCTTCTACGGACGATGGTACGTACGTTTATCAAATTACTTACGACTCCCTGAACGTGTAAAAGTAATCGATCGAATATCGGTTTCGAGTCTGGTATCGGATCAATTTTTATACGAACTTGTTTGTTGTCACGTCGATCAACCAAGCTGATTTTCTTCCGTAGATATGTCTTATCAAGTATTCAACCAACGATTATATTTTTCTGCAGACGTACAAGATCTCGTAGAAAAGTCCGAGTTGCAAGTTCGCGCGTCGGAGCTGGACGAAGACGACTCGAAACTCAAATCGTTCGAACACTCTTCCATAGGTACGAACATCTCGAGGTTCTACAAAGACTCGATGATGGTTTTCGATGGTTGCTACGAGAAGGATTTCGCCAACAATTCGGAGCTGCAATGTTTACTTAGGCAGCTGGAGAAAAAGAAGTGGGACGTGTTTGCTGGTGAAACTAATCTCGAAACGTTGCGCGCCGCCACGTTTCCCGAACAAAATAAATCAGTCCGGAAAATGGACAAGTACGAGGAAATTGAGAGGTAGAAACGTATCATTTTTAACCGTTACTAATGCAACTAATTAAGTAATTGTTATTCAGATATCAAGCACCGGTATCGACCGCTGCTTTGACAACTAATCCGAAGGAAGACCGTTTCTTAATACCCCCAGAGGTGCAAGCGAATCGGGAATCTGGAAACGAGACGCGTCAGAAATCGAGGAAGGTTCCACCTGTCGATTCCACCAAGTCGATAAGAAACGTTTGCACGCAGACGGAGACGGAGACGGAGACGGAGATGGAGATGGAAACGAATGGTTCCAGAACCAGTCTTACGGAGAAAAAGAAACGCAACAGAATGTTCTATGTACGCAAACGTTTCAACGATCAAACCAGGAGCGTCTCTCCGGCCAGCAACGCGAAATTTCCCGCGAAGAAAATAAATTCTCGTTTCTCGGTTTCGACGAACGGCGGCGCCGCCAACAAGTCTCCGAGCGCGTCAGCGCGTCAGAAACTCGGGAAATCGGCGTCCGACGACAGCAGTAAGAAGCTCGATCCGGTGAAATCGTCGTCGAACAAGAGCGTTTGCGATTGCAAAATGCAGAAACTGGAGGCCAAGTACTGCGGTTCCTCCTCCGAGTCGCGTTTCGACAAGAAGAACGAGCCGAACCGAAAGTTCTCTGGGAAGCAGCCCAAGGTCGACAGCTTCAGGACGCTTCCTCTGGGGTACACGGATCGGCAACCGGAAACGGAGGCGGAAGCGAGCACGTATCGCAGGAAGCCTCCGGTGTATCCGAGGAGGAGCAAAAGGGAAGCCCAGAGCGTATCGAGCGTCGTCGTCGCGCCGGCGAAAATTCCACCGACCAACAAGATGGAATCGTTCGAGTCGAAACGTTCGTGCAACAACGGCTCGAAAGCGTTCAAGTCGAGGTATCGAGCGAGATCGATCACGGAGGAGCTGCACGCCCAAGAGATGAGGATTCTGAAGGCCTACAACGAGGTCACTTTGCTAAAAGACAAAAAGGAACTCGAGGCGAAGAGGAGACTGTCGTCCGGCAGAGATTCCGAGGTCTCCAAGAGCCATCCTCGCGCCAGCAACCGGAACTCTGATAGTTCCGGAAAAGGTACCGTCGACGACGCGAACGCGCTCTACGATGACTACTTGAACAAGGAAAATTTGCTACTCGATACGACGACGACGACGACGACGGAAATGGAGCCATTGAACAGCCATTCGTACTCGAGGTTCCCCAAGATCGATTCGAACGTCGCGTCGGCGAAAACCGCGCGCAACAACTTTGACAGGCTGCGCGTCAGCCAGACCGGTCAGAACATCAAGAAAGAGAAACCGGCCACCGAGTCGGATAACAGGAAGCGATACACCAAGTACAGCAGGCCTAAGAAGCTGGACGACCAAGGGAACGTTTCGATAACCTCCAGCAAGAAGCTGGAGGGCACGCAGAAGGGCCGTGACCTAGACAGGACTCCCGCTAGAGAGGATGTGAGAGATGAAACGGCTTCGTCCCAAGTACCATTTGTCGGAGGTCTGATCTATGGGCTTCCGTCTCGGAAATATCTCACGGACATTGTCGAATCTTTGGCGAAATACGACCGTACGACTGGACTATCGACCTCTGAGAATCCAACGATCCCTCAAGTGCGAGACGACGAGGACTCGTTGATGACTATAGTAAAGGGAACCGTGAACGAAGGTATCGTCTCTAGTTCGTCGTCGAGTATCATGGATCGTGAAAAAGAAATTGAGGCTGTGTTGGAAGGTGGGGAAAATTGTTATTAATTAATTGTTCAATTAACACTATCGTAAAACAATATTCCGTTCCGTTCCGTTCCGTTCCGTTCCGTTCCGTTCCGTTCCGTTTCGTTTCAGAATGTGGAAACCAAGTCGAAGACCAAGCGCAAACGATACCGGAAACCGACCAAGACGTCGCAGAGCCTCCAGCCCCGGTTGGCTCTCCCTGGCCGGTGGACGTCCAAGAAAATACTGAAACTCGAGCGGAAGTTGAGGAGAATAGTAGAAACCAGAGAACCGAATACCCGCGAAACGAGCCCTATGAGACGTACAGGAGGTCGTCGCCGGACATGACGGACTTTGTCAGGAATATCGACGTGACTTCTTTGGTACACGGCGTCGTCCTGGCCAATACGAACGCGCAAGGAAGAAAGAGTCGTCAATACGACATCGTCGACGACACAACGGCCAAGATGGTTCACGATGCGTTCTCGTACAAGTCCATGGACTCGCTTCTGGACTTCCCTGACGACATCGTGGCCATGGAGAACGTTATAAACAACAGCCACTTGGAGTCGTCCAGCGACGAGTTTGTTTGTCGGTTGAGCAACGAGTTCGCCGAGGATCGGCTGATCTCTCAACAACATAACCAATTGGAACAAGCTATAATGGCTACTATTCGCGAGTCACAGGACGAGAATCAGACCAATGACGACTACAGCCTCTGCATCATCGCTATCGACTCCGACAACCTGCCAGACATCCCCGAATTAGAGATCGTCGACGATTACGATCACGTGGAAGGATTAGACCAAGCCCAACATCGGGCAGACGATGTCCTCACGAGTCTGACGGAGGTCCTAGGGAATATAAATATCGCTGGACTTAACCTGGACGCGATCGCCGCCATGAAGCTCGAACTTTTGCAAAAGATTTTAAACGTAGACGCGAAGGAAGAGAACGAAGAATGCTCGGAGGAGGAGGAGGAGGAGGAGGATGAGGATGATGAACCGGCCTTTCGAATCATCGAGAAAGATATTTGCACGAATATTAAGTTTCCGATTATGGTCAAGATGTCGGATTGGATTTCAGGTGTGCCGGATATCGAGAATTTTAAATCTCGGCGATCGATTGCTTCGATCGGTTACGTTCAATCGATTCGGTTCCCTTTGGTTCAAGCTACAGAGTCGAAAGAGGTCAAAGAGGAGACGATCGACGCGGAACATTCTGGCGAAAGACCCGAAGAGGAAACCGAGGAGCTCAACAGTTTGAAGAAGTTTGTACGATCGATGTTTGCGACGACGTTCGATATTTTGCGCAAGTCTTCGACGGAAAATGTTTCGGATAGCGAAGAATCGTCCACGTGCGATGCTTCTGCGAAATCTTTCGACAATTCGAAGCTTCGTTCGACGATCGAATCGTCAAAATTCGATGCAGATCGAACACGAGCTGATCCTCGTAGCGGTCCTTGGACCGGTGGTCCTCGGAAAGGTTTCAACGAGACGTTCGAAATAATAAATGTTGAAGATCCGATCGAATGGAGCGAAGAAATCGACCAAAGCGTTCCCAGGTTGGGAAAGAATCAAGGGGAAATTGCAGAAATTGGAGAAATTGAACGCGTGGACGAACAAATTTTCGAAGATTGCCTCGATATGGAAGAACTGTCGGAACTGGAGGAACTGGAGGACCTGATCGCCGAACAAGGGAGCGAAAACAACGAGAGTGTTGAGAAACCTGACGTACAAGTTGACAACATCGTTGCGCTCAAAGAGGAAATATCTCTCAAGATCGTGCTCTCCTTCTGGTTGATCGTCCTCTACTTTTACATACGATATTTTTATCTCAAGATTTACTCTCTGGCACAGATTTCGAGATCGACGTCGACGCTGAAGCCGTTCGAGGTCCACGCAGCGTCTACGTCGACGTCGACGCTTCTCGAGAACGCGAAACTCGCTGAAAGGATCAGAGAAGAAAGTCTGCCGAAAGAGGACGAAGGAAACGAATCGTTCGAGAGATCCACCGACCTCGAGGACATCGACATTTCTACCTTTATCGAACAACAGCTTGAAACGGTTCCAAGTTTAACGCTCGACGGAACGTTTTCGGGAAACGTAGGCTCCTCCGAGAGGGAACACGTTCTCGAAGAAATAAGGGAGGTTGAGAAAACGATAATAAGTTTGAGAGAATGCGTTGCAGAGATGATCGAGGGATCGTTGTTTTCCAAGTCTGTTGCCGAGAACTTGGAACGACGCGATATCGGTGACGAATCGCAGGAAGCTTCTTCTCCGAGATTGCTCGATCAAGATTCGAAATCGAAATCGAAATCGAAATCGAAATCGAAATCGAAATCGAAATCAAAATCAAAATCTCTGTTCGGGATCCAAGTCCAAACGAGCGACAATGATTTTAGTAGCGCGAAGGAGTCTAGTGCCATTGCAACCAACACTCGATTCTCTATTATCGAGTTGGAGGACCAAGATTTGATAGAATTGCACGCACCCGAAGGGAACATTGAAACTTTTCGATTTAAAGAAATCGATCGGTCCGGTTCGTCTGGATCTCTGTTAGGGGATACTCGAGAGGAACCGTCTGAAAATAGTAAATTAAACGATCGTGATGCGGAAGCGAGGATCGACAAAGAGGGACCACGCACGGAACAGATTGAGAATTACGGCCGAGGAGAAAACGAGAGAGGTGACGAGATATGGAATCTCAGGGACGCGATAGACGTAAATCAGCGAGTATCGACGGATCAAAATGTCGAAGAAGCTAAATCCGTTGAAAAGGACGAGCCTGTAAATTTCGAAACCACTCTGGAAGAAATGGACAGCTTCGATTCGGCTTACACGATGTTTTCCGAAACGTCGCAGCGCGTAAACTCCTACGCAGATTTCTATTCCACGATGGAAGAATTTTCAGTCGCTTCGGACACGGCCGACAAACACACTTGAACAAAATAACAAATTTCGTATTTTCCAGTTAATTTTTCTATCGAATATTCGGAATTTTAACCACCAACGTTTTTATTTCCAAAAGACTAGATAGATATTATAAAAATCGGTTGTATCGCAACGAAAGATTACTTTTATTGTTATTCGTTCGAGATCGCGAAACTGTCGCGTAGTTTTATTTTTAGTTTGAAACTGCGTTTAATTATGCGGCAAATATTGTTTGTATTCTCAAGAGGTTGGAATGTTTATTTCGTTTTGAATTAGATTTCTGTTTTAGAAGTGTCTTTCAGGTATTTGGATAATAAAGCCGGACACCAGTGACGACCACCATGGCCAGTTAATGTGTTAATGAGATTTTAAATGAAACTATACATATATTTTGTTATATGTATGTACATATATCAGGGTATGATATATGTATAATTACTTTTAGTTTCAGTCGAGAAATGATCAGTTGAAAGGATATTGTAATTTCAGTTCCTTGACAATATATTTTTTCTAATTTTCAAATCAGTGAACACTGATCACTGATCACTTTTCGATCAAAGTACTCTCGTACCGTTTTGCGTAAAATAAAAACATGTATCGATCGATACGTACAAAAAATGGCCTTTGGAAAAGTACTCTATCGTTGTAATTTCTTTCTTAAAATAGAGTTTTTTTTCCATACGGAGATAGTCGGACGATCCACCCTGTGTATACGCTTGTTCCGGTTTAGCCTAATTTACATACGTCAGAGACAAGAAACAGAGCCTTAAAGTCGCGCACACCTAATCGAGCAGCACGCTGGGAGAAACTTTCACTTTATAATACTGTTCTAAACTAGAACAATTCTGGGTTCTCGAAACCCCATTACGATTTTCGTGTCTCTCGCAACATTACCAACATATTTAGAAATGAATTTAAATATTTACGCAGAAACTAGAGCTGTCTGGCCATCGATAGCAATTCAGTGAATAGCTTTTCCATGAGAAGAAGAGGATGTTAACAATCACCTCGGAATTTGACAGTCGGATTGGGCCACGACAGTCCATAATATACATATAACCTGTCTACTCGTATAATATGTATGTACATATGTATATGGTATACCCCGTGTGTGGTAACATTTTCGAGAACAGTTTCGCTTAAAAACCAATTCTAAGCTTAATTTGAAAAGACTTGTGCGTTCACTGGATGAATCACCATCCGTCCGAATATCATCGAAACATCGGCGATTTCGTGGTGGTGACAGTTTTTCAACATCCGTTCCAAGTAAAACGTCTCTCTCTCTCTCTCTCTGTTATTATTTAACAAGTGTCGTCGTAGCCGTGCTCGGAGCCAGGCACGACGTAGCCAGGATCGCAGACAGTGTCCTTGACTGCTTCCTTCGCGTTCGCCTTAAAGATCCTGTAATTGATTTTGCTATTGTCGATCTTCTCGTAAAGATACATGGCCAGTCTATTGGAGACCAGCCATACGTTCTGGTCGTATTCGTGATCGACTTTGATGTCGTTCGGGAACACCAAGGACAAATTACTAGTACCGATCACTCCTAGATTTTGGGGTATGTACTCCTTTCTAGTGTCCCAGCACCAGACGGAATCTCTGGTGGCCATGTTGAAGAACATGACGCCGTTTCGATCCACCACGGATCCAGAAGAGTGCCCGTAGTCCTTGGCCCTCGGTCTACCGATCGGCATAAAGTGATCCGAGCTCTCCTCGGCGATCCTCTTGTCTCTAAACACGGACGTCGAGACGGCAAACTCCCGAAAGCTGGACATCGGATGGAAGAACAAGGTTCTGTCGTCGCGAATGTCCACGGGGCTCAGCGCTAACCCAAAAATCCCGTCGGTCCATTGGAACTTGACCCCGTGGAGCTCGTAGTTGGAGGCCAGAGGATCCGGGAAAAAGAAGTGGTGTTGAACCCTGAAGGAGGAATCGTTGCGAAAGTCGTACACCACCAATCCATATCTGAACACGTCGGACGCGTAGGCCGTCGCTGACTCGCAATCCTCGTTCCTGATGTCCACCACGATGTTTGTGTACAACGAGTCCTCCTTCACTTGCTCGCTCGGCAGAATGTACTTTCTGATCAGATTATCCGTCGTCAGGTCAAACACGAAGATCGCCGGTGGACACGCTTGCGTGCCCCCGTTCGCCACCTCCACTTTTCCAGAGTCCAGGACCCACAGCCGATCGCACTCGTCCACCTCCACCCTGAACACGGACGTCAGGCCCTCGCAGTTCCCTGCAGACAACACGCGTTTTTTTTATCAGAGACTAGCTCGTTTACTCGGCTGGTCGCGTGGTTTCTACTTTGATCGTAAATGTACGGCTACGAAGAATTCAGTAGTCCTCTTCTTTCGTAAGAAGAAGAGCCGTCGTGAGAATCTGTGAGGAAATACTAGAACCTTTTCGAGAGAAACGTATGCCATTACCACGATGAAAACAGAACATTTTCACTAATAAATCTCTTTAGAAATTAAAAGTGTTTTTTAGTTGAGAGAGAGAGTGAGTTTTTTTGATGATCTTTACCTGTTTGATGCCAGCCCCAGTCAGGGTAAGGCCACAGCTTTGGACTCTTCGTGTTGGAGTTTTTCGGTACAGTGGCCAAGGTCGCCGGAATGCCACTCTTCCACTTCGGGAGCGTAACAAAGACCTTGTCCTTCGAAATACCGATACCGAGCGGCAAATTGTTCTCCGCGATAAAGTGCCCGTCGTAGATGGCGGAATCTCGCGCCTCGATGCTGTCGTAGGTAAAGTCGACGGTTGTCCAGGCGAATACCTGCCATGTTAACCGATTAACGTTTCAGATTCTGCCTCGAGGAAATGGAGAGAACTCACTAGTTCCATCGCAGGGCCGACGTAGTCGTCCTCGACGTGTCCTCGACCAGGATCGTAATGGAATCCGTGCGACTCTAGCTGGTTCAACGAATCGGAATCCGCCTTAAATACATTTCGATTACTTCCGTTTGGCCTCGAGTGAACTCTCACCTTCTCGAGAGACCGAGAAAAGTAATCGCTCGAGTCCGGCGTCGAGCCGTAAAGATGATTGCCGTACTCCGGGGTCGTGGGCAATCTATCCACTGAATTTTCGTCAGTCGCAGGTGTGTCTATATGGCCTGGACAGTTTATGTGCCCAGGCAGCTCGTCGTGACTCGATATCAAGGTCTTGTAATTTCTTAACGACTGCCGAAGGACGTTTAAAAGTTTAGTAAACACGTTCCTGGCGCTAAAATAGTATCGACCCGATAACAAAGTAATCGCTTTAAACGAATGCGATTCAAAGTAATACACCGAGAAATCAGAATTTCATTTCGTTTATAAAGAGTTAAACATCGTGGTACAATTTTACGTCGACCGTTCATTTTCACTCTTGGATTTTACGTGTTCAAGTTACCGGTAATAGTTTCTAGCAATTTCCATACGTATGTATAAAAGAATTTCGTACCGAACGAATTCCCGAAGATACGCCGCTTCTTTGACCGTTTGGTTCGTGATGACGCGAAAGCGCATTGGTTACAGGTTGGTTGGCGAACTCCTGAACGCCGAGAAGGCACATCGACAGCACCCATGGCACGACGTTCGCCATACCTGAGAAAGAAAGGAGATTCCGATGCGTGTATGCAATAACGCCGGTAATAACGGCGGTAATAACGACGACGACGACGACCTTCGTTGACCGATTTCTCAACGAAGTTCACGCTGGCCTGGTTATCGCGATCTACTCGTCCCGCGTAATCGTTTTCCCCCGTCGGGGAAAATACGCGAATCTCGATAATAATACGTATTATACTTATGCAACGGGGATTAAATAATATTTCGACGGTCGATTTTTTCCTAATACAGCAGATCCTACGCAAAGAGAAAAATAACAGGGGGATGATATTTTATAGCTAAACTATTTTTACACTCTTGGAAGGTAAATTAAAGAAAAGAAAATGATGAAAATTTAAAAAAATCAAGAAAGTTCTTTAACGCATAGCAGTTCCGTGTTCTCCGATGAAAATGTTCCTTAAACGTGTACACGTTGAGGAGTTATGCAAGGGTTTTCGCCATTTCTGCTCGAACACTATGAACCTGACACATAAGGAAGCTAATCTTGCCGCGATTCCTCGACTCTTCCACACCATAAAGGAATTTATATCGAAACACGGAACTCTCGTATGTGTTTCGAATTTTATGATTCACAACCTTTTAACATCTTCGCGTTTCAAACTGTTACGACTATTTCATCATCATCATCATCATCATCATCATCAGTTTGGCGAAAAATTGTACAAACGTATAGAGGCTGGTAAAACTCGTAAAACGATTTAAATTTATTAGCTATGCACCGTCTGTTTGTTCGATTCAAGATACAGTATTCATAACGGTGTTTTTAACGGAATTTAGTCCACGAAAGTCGATAAAGCAAGACTCGTGAATGCAACGGTCTATACTGTGTATACCGCGCAGTTGGCAATATCGTGACAAGACTGCACAATTATCGTTACTTTCCTATCGATACTCCTCCGCGCGAGCATGCTCTTTCTCGTTCGAGTTTCCAGTTTAAATACCGCTTCGTCGACGCGACATCCCGATGAAACATTTATTCCAAACGGATAAGCAGCTGTAAGTGTATGTACTTGTTCTCTTTTAAATATCTCGATCGTGTTCCAGGACTTTCGAACAATAAGAGAAACTCATACTGGTCGATAGTCTCGTAATATGCAACAGGAACATTACCATTAATTTTAGTTTACTTAAATTATCAAGACGTTGGAATAATTCGTAATAGAAACGGTTTCGTTCATAATTTAATTTAAAACGGTGAAACGGTGGTTGGAGAAAAATAACCGAGGTTAAAAAACGTGCGTTAATCGCCGCCGCGAAGGTTGTGTAATTGTGTATATTAGCGTTTAATTAACGCGAGCACGAGAGCAGGCGAGCACGCGAGCGCGGAATGATCATTCAGGAAGCTAAGCCAGTAGTGAATTGAAATGGAAAGCGAATGGATTCGCAAACCCGAGATGATTCTGCGGTCTAATGACTTTCAAGGTGACGAACATCGTCAACACTTTCGCCCGAGAAATCTGTGAAAAGCGATATTTATTTATCAGAATCCGTGAAATTCACCATTCCGTTGGATCGAATCCGTTGTTGATCCGACACTCGGGTCGGTCGTTGAATTAATTTCGATTCGTGAACCGATTATTTATTTTAATTATACAGCTCCGCGGCAGAAGAAGCGCTGGAAGCAAATGCTTCTGGACCAATCGTCGACTCCACTTGACACGTGTTTACGAAATGCTTTACCAACTTACGAACGTAAATATTTCAAGTTTGATCGCGCGAATCGACTAATAATCCACGTTCGATTCCGTTCTCAGAATACCTGGAAGATTCCGAAGATTCCGAAGATTCCGCGAGCAAACTGTTCCTCGAGGTGGACCCACTGACTTCCTTCCGAACACCCTCTACAGTATTTTCACACGCAAGGAAAAGAAGAAACCGAGCACTGCACGGAGGAAAAATCGAATTAAAAGGAGAGAGAGAGAGAGAGTGGCAAGGGTGTAGCAGCTGTAGTAGGATCACAAGAACGACGACGGTCAAATAGAGATGTTCGCTCGAGATGAGACCAGACCGTGGATGTTACCCGCCGACTGCCATATTCACTATCCGGGTCATAAGTGTGCCTAGGTGTACCAACGAAAGGAGAGAATGGCGAATCCCTTCTCTCGGAGAAGATTTTCCCTCTCGTCCGTGTTACGAGGCTACGGTATAGGTCATTGACGACGGGTTCATGGGGCCCCGTTTTACGTGCGAAGCCGCCTACTATCCCCAACAAACCCAAAAATCATCTGACAAATCAGCCAACCAACATTTTCTCTCTTGGATATTTTCAATTCGTAGACAATTGCTGGACGTGAAATACATTGTACATACGTATATCGGTTCTGTACAATGTAACATTAACCTCCTCATCGGATGCAAAAGTAATAAATAAAAAATTGTCTTCTCCGCTAAATAATGGCTATGGTTCTGACACGCGATCGACCGAGTCGAAGCTAATGTATTGTAATAGACACAGGTGAAAATAGTAGCACTCACCGGCTAGTACTTACTTGGCACGAACGACTTCATTAACTCAAAGAGATACATATGTACATAGTCGATGTTTCCATAGCATGTAAATGATATTCTTCGATAGCCACCGATTAAGTAACTGTATAATTAACGTTATTCCGATCGCGTCAACGTTTCCCAAAACATTTTGTATCGAAGTCGGTAAGTACCTTGCGCCTCGCGAGGCTCGATATTTACAGCGAGTTTTAAGACAATCGTCGTTGCGAAAGAGGGAATCCCCGTTCGGCCGAATCCATCCGAGTATCGTTACGCTAGCATTAATCTCGTGAGAACACTTAAACGTACTTCTCGATCGACGTACATAGATACGGCAAACACGATGGAAGATGAAAAGACGGATACGGACGGAGATTAATTGGACGCGAAAAAGATTGAAATTCCGGCAAGATTGTCTTTCCGTTAAAGGCAAAAAAGTATTTCACACTCGGTGAACGATTGCTCGTTATAGCACGATCGAAACCGATTGGTTGCTCGGATCGGGAACATTTTTACAGCATGTTATAAATTGCTACGATATTCGTAGAATAACCGTTTTGGGGGGAAAAAAGTTTAACTCGACCGTTTAGACTTGGTTCAACGTTAACATCAATCTTGTCGCTATTTTCTACCGCGATATTTCCATTTAGAGGGAATTGAGTGATTCCGAATAGCCGAGCTCCAGGTATGTATTACAGGTCACAGTAACGTTTTAAAAATCCAATAGAAGTGGGGCGGCGGGCGTACTCGTTTTGGTTGACAGCAATTTAAACCGAAGGAAGATTTATTGGTCGACATTTTATTTTATAGCGAAAGCCGCCTTCGAGACAATATGCCTGCAAGCCATTTATGTGCATCGAAATTCAAGCCGCGATTTCTTACATACTTGGAATTTCATTTTAAACAATCTACTTTAATATCTTTTATCTTTTTTGTTCAAATTATTCAAAGTGTTACAGTTTCGAAACGTTAATAAAGGATATGATAATGATTTTTAAGCAGGAAAACTGATTTGCGTAACGTTCAATCGCGTTACTTTTCCTCGCAGCAAAGAAACGCGGAACGTTCCAACAACGGCACGTGCGTTTTTTCGAAAAACAATTTGCTTCGCGACCGTCATTACTTTTACACTTTTACGAGGATACACCGACTTTCCGTTGCCCCATTCTTTTTGCACGACCAAACGAATGTTTAATTTCGCAATGTCGCACGCTCGTACTCGATACAACTTACTCGATGATTCCCGTGGTTTAAATACTTTTTGTCGCGTGCATTCATGGTTGTGCTTGAAAGAATTCGGATTGTCCCAGGCGTAGAGGAAAGAATGATCCGGGGAGACGTAGACGTAACTGTTGGTCCGTTCGCGGAGGTTCCTCGATATCCACGGATCCCTCTGCCAGACGCGTGCCCTGGCTTCCGGATGGATGCTCCTTCCACTCTTCCTCGTCATGGCACGTCTACGAAGATGAAACCAGAATTCAGATCCCACCAGTAAATTTGATCAGAGAACGAGCGAGCAATTGCTCCATTCAAGCTGGAGTTTCGTAATGTCCGAGGAGGAGGTACACACGATGTTATTTACTTGGAATCGAATATACATACATATGTGTATGTAGATCGCCAGGATTACGTAACGACGGGCATCCAACCGAATACGCGTTCGAGAAGAAAATTACAGGAAAACGTTTCTGTAAGAATATTCTTAATTAGCATCAAGCTATCCAAGACATTTCATTAATTATTTTGCTTTGTAAAATATTCGAACCCTTGTTCTCCGGCACTTGTTTAATTCCCAATTTTACCCCCAGTATCGTTTCTCACAGCATTTTTACAATTATTTTTTATCCTTCGTGTACGCGTAAAAAGATATCCGATTTTTAAGGTATTTTTCCTGGTATTTATCGATCGGTTTCCCAACTCGTAACAAAATCGTAACAGTTTCCCAACGTGGTCAGAACGAACCTCCCCCTCTAGCGGAACAAACTTCTCTTTAAACCGATATTCTTTCGCAACCGGACATATTAGACAAAAGTTTAAATGCGATCGGACCTTATCCGCGCAATTGCAATTATAATTTTATGGGTTTTATTTTTGCTAGCTGATAATATTTTTAATAAACTAGTCCCGGACAAATTGGAGAAATTCGTTGTACTAACTTTTATTATCGTGCAATGTTCGTAAGCCTACTCGAGCGAATAAATATAATAATTTTCAATTGATCGATATTGCAAGGACGTTGTAATGCCGCGAGGAAGAAATGAGTCTCCGAAAACCGAAAGTTAGCCCCGATCTCCGGTGGAAAGCGATAATTATGCTAAATTCCGGGCGGTTACGCATCATTCGTCGAACGAGCCACTGGAACCAGACAACTATTATTTCCAGGTAATACGAGTTCGTTTCTCCAGCACCTTAATTCGGTTCGATGACCGTGAGCTTGACTTTTTCGATCGAAACGTATGTATTGCCAAAGATCTTTCTGTCACAGACAAAGTATACGAGTAGACTAGTACTTACGTATTTCCATAGAACGTGAAAGAAATTTATTAAAAATGAAAAGCGAATTTTTCCGAAAAATCGAAAGTGGGGTGGTAGGCGAAATTCAAATATCGAAAATCATTCTGGAATTCCTACGTACTTTCGAGAAAAAAGAATTCTTTACCTTGGATGTAAAGTGTACTCGTATATGTACATAGATAGGTACTTACTTACCTCGTCCGTGCTTTGCCGTCTAATAATCGGTCAAGAAGACTTGAAATAACAAATTTTCCTCTTTCATTGTTATCGTTGTTAAACTGGAAAGTAGCGAATTTGCATAACGATGGGTGCATTGTGGATACTTTGTAACGGAATAGTGAAAGCAGTAAAAAGCACGCGCGAAGATAAGGAAATTATGTCGATGATTGATCATTTCTCATTTATGTAAGTTTTTACCGGTAGTAATTTAAAACCGGAAACGACTGAAATTCCGTTCCATTCCGGTACGTTTTTTTATTCAACGCGTCCGATAAATAATCACGATACCATTCGATCGAATATTAATTTCACTGTGTATGCGAATTACACATAAAAACATTAAGCATTCGATGCAACGCGTCGCTTAATTTCAAATTCAACCGTTTGTAAATAAAATTCGCGTTTTCACAGCTGAAATTCATCTTTGAAATTGGAATTGAAAATAGTTTTCACGCTATTTGATATACATACATATGTACATATTGTACAATGTATATTATAAATATAAACTTTGGCAAGTATAGAATATTAAAAATTTTCTCCGGCAACGCTAAGCAACAATTTCATGGCTCATGGATCAAGTGAATTCGTTTCTTTTTCTATATAATTAGCAACAATTAATCGGACGAAATTTATTTCATACTTGGTATACAATTGAAAAACATCGCTCGTACCATACGAAAATTAATGAAACTGGCAAATTACGTTTCCTTCGAGGAAACCAGATTCCATAATTTTCTGACGAAGCAAAATACATATGTATGTACACCGAACGACATCGTACAATGTAGCAAGTGTTGTACCATTGTGAGAATGTAACTTTCGAGATAAAATAGCTGTTCGTCTCTAAAAACCAGTCGAAATTCGCGTTATCTAAAGAAGCTTTTTTAAGTGAAATTTCGAACGAAACACTGTACGTATAAAATTAAAAATTGGTTCTACCTTGTCCGAATCAGCATCGTTCGAGTCGTTTCTATTTCTCGATAAATAATACACGCTTTATAGATATCAAGATATGGCTGGCACTGTCCCATCGATCGGTATATTTTCTCTATCCCGTGGATGTTAGCGAATAATATGTATAATGTCTGATCGATCAAGTGACCTACCAGTGTTACATCCAGACCCGGTCTCTCCTACTTGGTCGCCGGGTTGATTTTCCGCCTTTAATCAGGAATGTCGGTTGAATTTTCCCGAGAAAAACACTCGGTTCGATGCACAGAACCAACCAACCGTCCGTGATTACTTAATCCCGCGGACTGAGTGAGACTCCAGGAATCGATCAGTTCGAACAGTTCGGCCGATCGCGAGAAAGCAAATAGGAGCGTTTTTCTTTATTACTCGGAAAGTAAATAGCACGTTTTCGTGGAAGAAGCATAATATTATTATGTAATGTTACAACAATGTAACAGATTTTATATAGTATTATTTTAAAAAGTATACAATACAGGCGCGTCGATACGATATCATTAGTTTCACGGTAATTTACATATTATACATACATGAAAATTCATTTGCCGCATAATAATCATAGATTATCATAGAAATCGGAAATTTCGCCATAAAATCATCGAACCACCGACGCGAGCGCGAGCGCGAGCGCGAGCGCGAGCGGGAGCGCGAAACTTTTCAAATTTACAAAATGCCGCTTCCGAATATGTAAACTGCTTCTATTATGCGGACGCGAGGAAGAAGAAAGGAATTATTACATACTGACCAAGTGGTTCGGTATGCCTCTGTCTTTTATACGCACAGATTCCGGCAGCCGGGGATCCGCGAAAGTTACGGTATCGTGACTCGTAATCGGGGAGCTTTTGCCTACGTGAATTTGCAGAAAATCCGAGCTGCTGAAACGACGCGTCTATAGGACAGTTACGAAATTCACGATCGAATTTTTAGGTCGACGCAAATGATGGAGCAATGTCCGAGACGGTTTTAAGCGTACTCGAAAAAGATAATATTGTCCGAACGGAGGGAATTACGCAAGTTTGAAAAACAAACGAACCACGATCAACAGCGTTTGTCCGTTCGAAAACTGTTTTTAGATCCGAGGACGATAATTATTATTTTTAGTGGTGCAGAGCGGACGAGAAGCAGCAATACACATAAGTACACTATACATAGTCTCGAGGAGGGGTTTTCGGGGAAAAAGTCAACGATCGATCGTTTTTACATCCAGCAAGAAATTTCGATTTATTTGGTACGTCCGTGTGTGTCGTTACTTTCCCCACGGCAGAACGTACGTAAGTACGTACGTACGTACGTACATACATACATCATAAGAAATTACACAAGATTATTTTTAATTTGTTAATATACCCCGTCGTTGGTTCTACCATTCGAATCGTTCGTTACTATCCCCATTTCTTGGGAGTTGGCATGCAAGCAGTGTTGTTTACCAGAATGTCCACGTATTGTTTCAAAACACGGAAATTAATCTCGTTGAAATTCATAGTACCTGCCGCTATTTTCTGATAACGATTCGTCAACGCGAAAAGGACGTCCGACGAATGTAACTTTCCATACTTAACTTTCAGGCCCGTAATGCCCTGAAGGGTTCTGGAATTACGGGAGATCGTCACCTGCGGAAATAGTTATTTCGTATTTTTCGTGTTAAATAAATTTTCGTATCTATAACTTGTCAAAGAAAATTCGGAAATATTTAAAAGGGTAGATATTTTTGTGAAATCATTTCTCCTAGATAGTCGAGCGAACAAATTTTTACGCGGCACTGTTAAACGCAACAAGTTTGATCGATGATGAATCGATTGGAATCGATTCTTTTAATTCCATTATTATTTCTACTAACCAAATTGCTGGTCTTCAACACCTTGTCTTCGCACCAGCATACGATCGCCGTCTCACCTATCAGTCCCATGAACAGAACTCCCTTCCGCGAAACCGCCTTGGCACTCGATTGAGCGGGCAAAAAGTTCATTTTCCTGTAAATGAACGCAAAATATGGTTCTTTCCATTAAAAGAATTACATTTCAGATCTGAGAAGGTTGAAATTCGGTAGAGGATCGATATGGTAGATGAATTACTCTCGGAAAGAGATGTCCTCGTGCCTTCGTCGCATAACGAACGGCCAAGTGTACGTGAAAAGAAGGTTTCTGGACGACATGGGACTGAGGTAAAGTCTATTGGTTATAGGGGACACGGCCATTCCTACAGGTCCGTCCTGCAACTCGAAACTCTCCCCTTCGATCGTGTAAGTTGTTTCTTCTGGATCGTATAGCAACTTGTCCGAAGTTATCCGTCTCAGCATCTCGCCATCGTACACGATTAAAGCATAACCTTCCACGTCTGCCATATACACCTGCCACGGAAATATATGTACTAAAGTTGTTATTTGCTTCTCCACGAATATGTAGTACGAAAGATGAATTTTCTATCCGAGATATACTTACATGTATTTATTTTTATTCAGGACTAACCCGGACCTTATTCTCTGTTAATCGTAGTTATCTTTGATGCAATACTCACCAGAGTTCGCGAACAATCGTCGTCTGGCGTTTGGGCGATCGGAGTGACCAGCAATCCCTTGCCCGTCGTAGAATTCACCGCGATATTTTCCGGTATCTGAATTTTTTTCAGTAATTTCGAGCTCCTCAGGTCGAAGCAGAGGAGTTGCGCGGGACATATTCGTTTCGTGCCGATTACACCTGTGTCCAGCACCCACAGTCTGTTACACTCGTCGATCTGAATCGTACAATAGAATTTTCCGAATAGAATTTTCGCGAATCGCAAAGGAAATAAAATTTCATTGGGAAATTTAGCACACCGAGACTCTGTAAACGCTCGTGATACCGGTACAATCCGTTTTGGCCCACTCCCAGCTAGGATACGGTTGGAGAAGAGGACCACCGGGACCCTTCATCTTGGATACAATGTTCAACGAAGAAGGCACACCCTCGTCTCTTATTATCGTGATAAACATTTTATCTTTAAATAAACACGTGATTTACGTGAAAACGTAACTTACTAAAACAGCTTAAATTTAAATTAATATAAAGCCAGATGAAATTACTTGAATATATTGTAACAAACAATAGAGATTGTGGAAACCACTGCTCCAGAGAAACTTTTTACCTTTCTACTATTTATGTACATATACCGAAATCTTTCTACATAGAAATACATATGTATAGTTTACCAGACCACACATCGACGTCGATAGGAAAACACTTGGAACGGTTGTAATTGCCGGATTTTATAGCCTCCTCTCTCTGTGTGTAATTCTCAAACACATAGTCATAGAACTTCCATTCCATCGTTACATCAATCGGCCGGTTCTCGACCGTCTCAGACGCCGCTCCATTTTCCTTCGCGAACAAAATTGCTCCGAAACAGAGTGCCAACAACCATGGCGCCGTCATGGTTCTAAAAACTATTTTTCGAGTAAAACCGAACGTAATATAATACCGGGCATAAACTATAAATAAAAAGTACAGTATAAATAGAAAATTACACTTTTTATTTAGTAATTTAGTAAGGAATACCTTTATGGATATGGTAAATGTTTATCGAATCTAGTACGCTCCAGTGTTTTCGATTATTCGAATAATAGTAACGGAAACGTTGAACGAATTTTTCCTAGCACGGCGAGCAAAGGAAAAACTGTGAAGCGAATGCAACATTCTTCTGACTGGTACCGTTCCAATAAATAGAAACTACTGACCTTCTGTTTTCCAAACAGATAACAGACAACGACGATAAGGGGACATTTAGGAAACGATTATAAGTATACGGAAATTTGTTTTCTTGCCAATTTACCGATTACTGACATTCTTTCCGCGACAACGCTTCGGGCCGTTTACTGTATTTACATTGCAATCGGTTAATTGCCTGGCGCGAACAACGTTCTCGAAATTACACGAATTCTGTACAAAGAACCTCCAGAACCTCTTAAACAAACGAATCGGTTTATCGATGTCTAAACTGCAATATAAAAAAACACCAATATTATACGTAACAGATATCTACATATACATAAATTAAACAATAAAGGAGAGAGAGGCTTACGATGAAAGGAGAAACTCTTTATTAATAAAACCGTAAGAACAGAAACTTGCACCGATATCGATTATTACTTGGAAAATTCTTGGGTTTTTCCGTTCTTTTCAACGATGGTTTAAACAAACATGTAGAATTTGAAGCAAACGTATAGGGAGTATGTACTAGATAATGAACGGTTGGTTAGCAATTTGAAGGATCTTGGCGACGAAAAGAAACAAATAGAAACGCTTTACGTAAGAGTTGTGATGCGCGCGACACGTGTAGGCGCACATACGTATGTATTATACATATGTATGTTTCTTGGCAAGAGTAATTCGGTAAACGGAAAAAATATTATGTAAAAGGTTGTGTAATTCTATGGAAAATTGATGACGTTTCGTTCGTAGAATATTCTACATGTATAATACGATAAACATGGTTCGTTTAACGGTGAAAATTCGTAAAATGTGCCAGTATATGCACTTAATTTCATATTATTATCTGGAAAGCACTTTGCTATAGCTATCTTGACTTTTGCTTCAACTCTGTAGACGAATTCGTGAAAATACACTGCAAATAAAACCGACACGTTTCTACGTATCTATTAAACGATCAAAATAAAAGACACTGTAATACAGCTTTTTATTTTTTATTTTTTAATCTTGCTACCTGTACGAATATTCGAAATCTTTTTATTGTTAATTGTTTAGCGAATTATTCCGTGTTGTTGAAACTGTCGATTTTCGGTAAACCTATTTCTAAAGCACCATTCATCCCCTATAAATAAATATTTACTATATCATGTATTCAATGCGTAAAATAAACTCTATTATGGTTGCTTGACCGAACAATACATACTCGATAATTACCAGGAAAACTTCAAGTTAATATCATTTAGAATTCCTGTAAAAACTATTTCCTACCACGTAAGTACATAAATTACCCTAGAGTTACTGCGAATAAAAATTGCTTTTCGCTCTGGCTCTCGAAATTTTCCATAAAAAATATTTGTACAGCACCGCGAGCAATAGAAGAAAACGGTGCTACTTTAGGGAAGATCAAGATCATCATTCAACCGTGATCCAAGAAGATGGAGTAGCTGTGAGAACGCGTGGATTAGTTGTTGTAATGGTTTCGATAATAGGAAAATACGAAATGATCGTGAAAGGAGAAAGAAGTATAAGGTCTGCTCGCGAAGATGGAGTGTCTCCGATATGGGGAGAGGAACCCTCGCCTCGCTAGAAGACTGCTCGCGGTGCCCTAACTTTCATTTGTAATAGTGAGAGCCAACGACGTTATGCGATAAGGAAGCCACGTCGCACTTGGTACCACGGACCAATTCCTCGAGAAAACCAGCCTGGATCCGGAAGTTGGTCTCGTTGGAATTTAGGGAACCGCTCATGTACTTTTGGAACGACACCGTGAGAATCCAAATCTCTTGTTTGCCTTTCTTCGAAGTTACGATCTGCAATAGAAGACCAATTATATTATTATTATTATTATTATAATAGGGCAAGGGGAATGTTGGAAAATGTACGTTTTGTGGACAGGGTAGTTGTGAGAACCGTTGAACGAGGGCAGCTTTTCACCGTAAAATCGTTTCTTTGCTCCTCCTACCTTCAAACCAGAGGGAAATTGCAACGTTTCCGGATTAGTGACGAGAATCTCGTTGTTCCGAGCACCATACTCGGGATAACTGTTGCTGTTCCAGCATCCGATCGCCAGATCCGACAACAAGCCAAAGAAGAGGACACCGTTCCGATCCATGGCTTCCGCTGCAGATTGCGACGATCTCTCCATCTTGAATGGAACGAACGATCTCGGTGCAGCCTCGGGGTTGCCGCGAAACAGAGTGGAATTTCTAAATACGTACAATCAAACGATCACCTTACATTTGAAAAAATGCTAGGTAATATAAGAGTGGTGTTATCGGTATCGGGACCGACCTAATCACCGATGTAGCCACCCATCCCTCCACTCTGCTGGCCAACGAATGAAAATAAAGAATCCTGTCTCCGTTGCGAAGAGGTCCTAGCGCGAGTCCCAGGATCCCGTCCATCAGATCAAACGTGTCGTCTCTGATATCGAAGGTACCGTACGGTGGGTACGGATAAAACAACTTGTTAACGATCTTCCAGGATCGCGAGTTACGGTAATCGTAAACCAGCAACGCGAATCCCGTTACGTCCGCGATGTACGCGAACGTATCTTTGCATTCTCGATCATCGGCGTCCCGAACGTCCACGGCCACGGTCACGTACAGGGAATCATCCTTGTACCGATCACGAGGAAATCTGTATCGGTGGATCAGCTGATTCGTGTCCAGAGAGAAGACGAGCAATTGCGGCTGGCAAACCCATTTCTCTCCTAGTTTTCCAGTATCGAGTACCCAAAGGCGACCGCACTCGTCTATCTGAACGATAAGTATTTCATTATTCCTGCCGTTCGGGCTGTGTCTATGCTATTTTTATGCTAAACACTATTTTTTCACTAGTAATTACGAAAATCTCTATCACCGATAACCTATCGTTAATTTTCTTTACATTTTTAATACCCATGAACGACGAGCATGAAAGCAAGCTCGTAAACGAGGACAATTTCTCGACACTTGTGACTAATGCGTCGTTCCATCTTTTCCGATCAACGATCGTTGGAACTTTCTTAAGAGAACAATAGCGTTTCTACGCATTTAAGCTCCACGGACCGACTGCAGAGTTCCGAAAATATATTTTAATATTATACATAGTTGCGTCAAGTGGTTTTCGATACCCAACCAGTTCAAACTTGAACTCCATCGTCCTCTCTCTCCCTCCTCTGTCTGTAGATTCGAAATCTGCATACCTGCATTCTGTAGACGCTGGTGATCGAATCGCAGCTGCCTATAGCGTTGTAATCCCAATTCGGATAGGGCGCGATTATGGGGTTTCCAGCTGCCGTTTGTTCGTCGGTTACGTAGCCTAAAGTTACGGGCACACCGTCCTGAAATCTCGGAACGGAGACAAAAATTCTCGACATATGACCTAGAAAAAATGCAACAAACGATCTGCATTGATTCTCGTCGTATATAAATTTTTCGAATCGATGGTCAAATCGGATATCTAACCAATAAAAAAAATCAACATTTTATCCCGTGTAAATTCCATCGAATTAAAAAATACCTCCGTTGTAGACGTCTACGTCGATGGGAACCGGTGCCCCAGGTATGAAGTCTCCATTTTTTATGGCGGTTTGTCTGACAATTTCGTTTGGGAATGCAAATTCCAACCTCTTCCACTCATAAATGCTCTTGAGCTTTTCGTAGGTCGGCGAACCGGAAGTCGCCACGACCAACAGAATCGTCCAGCAAAACGGATACATCTTCGAGCTGTAAACAAATTAGTTGTTAACTCTGAAACGACTTTGGTTATGAGTAATCTTATGACAGAATTCTCTTGGACTCTGCTCGTTAGAATTGCAAACGATCGTTTGTTCTTTGCAAACGACGCGACGCGACGCGACGCGACGCGACTCGTCTCGCAACTCGGACAAGGAACTTGTGTCGCGGAATCGCCTTGAATTTTCAAACAAGTGTCTTGAAAAGAGCAATCGATGGAAGATTGAGTAACATTTTCAAATATTTACCGACTAGTAAAAAACACTTGTACGTGACTTTGCGGATGGCGTTTCAAACTGCAATCCACAGTGGAAAATTTTTAGTAAAAGAAACTGAAAAAAAAAAAAGAAAAAAAAACGGATTTAACTAGTATTATAAGTAAAATTGACGGACAGTCCGTCGGATGAAATTCGTGCGTTTTCTACCTGTTTCGAAAACTCTTTAAAAATGGTTATTATACGTAATGGACAATTGAAACCGAACGCTTGATAAAAATTGCAGATCGAGGGCAAGGAGCGTGTCGAACGCATTCCGATTGTCAAAAACTCACCTGACAGTCGCGAAAATAAGTGGCGCGCGCGTGGGTGGGTGGGATCAGCGGCCGCGTTGACGCTGCGTCGATGAATCGGTTAAAAGGGAAACCCAACCCAAACACGTCCTTCTCGCTCCTTCCGATATCTCTGTTTTTGCGTCACCTTCTCTTTCTTTCTACGAAACTTTCACCGTTGCGGAAACGACACGGATACGACGAACAGCGTGTTACGATTCCGCCGTGACCGACTTCTCTACGCAGAAATTCGATTTCCGGCACTTTTTCGAGCCACGATCGACTTTTAACGATCCCAAACGCTGGATTCCGCGAAGCGAATGCGAAGCGAATGCGAAGCGAACAAACGTCAAGATAACCCCCGTTATTACCGTACGATAAGAAATTTGTTTAATAGCCAACTTACTCTCACCGATAATCTCGAATGTGGAACAGAGTGTCATGATAAAATTTTGCACGAACGAGAACGACAATTCATCTTGTACCGATAATCTTTCGCAAATGTAAAATACATTGTCGTAATCTGTGCACGATCAAAGTTAAATGTGTCGAGGAGGACTTGAGGGGCCCGTTAGGAATGTTTTCGCGATCGATAAGAATCAAACGACTTCACTTTTAAAGCAGATTTTTGCTCCAGAAGAAAGTTACTCAATGGTTAATCAATGTGAAATTGAAGAAAGGAGTGTTGTTGGGATTGATGGTTAACAACACAAGTTTGTGCAAATAAATATGTTCAAGCAAGATATTTTTACCGGGGTACGAGGTCCGAAAGAGACGCGCTCGTCTCGTTCGCGTCGCGATCGAGGACCAACTGAGGAAGAAAACGTCGATGATCGCGAAACAACGATCTCCAGCGTCGATCAAGCATCTCCTCTTCACCGTGGTCCGGCTTATTATAGGTGAAACAAGTTCCAGCAAACGTCGTGGTTTTTCTGGTCACGGCCACGGAACAGGCTGCTCGAAGGTTCGACAAATTTCTGTCTACGTTCGGATTAGATCGCGAATGATTAATGGAGTGTTTAGAATCGCGAACGTCGGATGGACCGCGGGGAAGATCGACGGTGAAATCGCGTAATCGGTGACAGCTCGAGCCGTCATGAAACATTACGAGAAAAATTTTAGTCGATGCTGACTCAAGGAATATCCCTTCATTTTTTATATGAAATACAAGGATATCGTGAATATCTTAACTGTTTACGGAAACTATTAATTTATCGGAGAAGATTGTTTTCTCGATCGGGGATCGTTCCTAGACCACCATGGAGCGTAGCGTGTGTTTCCAATTGATCATAATTTCCAAATTACATAGTAACGCGGACGCTATTACATTAATACATAATGCATGCGCTCGTAATCGATAGCGAAGTGGATAGATAGTGTGTTTATTTGGCGTTTGAAGCTCGAAACGATTGCATAAATATCGGTTATGCAATTGAACGTGCTCACGCGAGATTTATTCGAAACGACCAAGTCACCGATTATCATTATTTTCCAACCGATAAAATTACTTGTTAAAATTCTACGAATCAAACTGTCGATTAAAGTTTCCAACGAATACGCAAATCATTGAGAAATAAATACGGTTGGGCAAATCCGCATAGTTTTTAAAAACTCTAAAAATACTTTGTTCGTGCAACGTGTTCCTGAACAATTTCCATGATAATTCCTACGAAAACTACGACACTTTACGGACATATTTGATTTCGAGGCCTCAACGACGGACCAACTAACCACTGACTTTTAAGCGGATTACTTTCTTTTAAAGTAAAACGTAAAAACACCAAATTTCGACGATACTTTGCTACGGATGTTTATCAAAGGTTCGGTAAATGTTGCAAGAACGGGTTCTCATGACAAATTGCCATTTTTATCGAAAACGATATCAGCGCATAAATCCTCCCAGCGTTCTCAACTTATTACAAAAAAAGTCTTTAACCGAAGGGGTCTTTTCTACAATATGAAAGTTGATATTACTTATGTTCGTTGCGATTAATTTAGATCGCACTCTGCCCACTACGAGTAAAATACATATGTATCTTAACCAGTACCACCAGTACAAACAAGACTAACGATACTAAAATATTGCCTCCTAAAAGCCCAACGTATTGTTGTAGTAATACATCGGGAATTGTTGTTGGTTGGAAGCGTCGAGGGCCCCGTGCTTGAGCGAATTGGGCTCTGGCAACAGCCTCATGATTCGAATGTTGATGTCGCGTGCGTTCACCTCCTTTCTGAAGAATTTCTGGAATCTGGACGTCAGCAGCCAGAAGTTGCCATTGTCACGGTCCGCCCAAACAATTTCAGCTACGAATTGCAGCTTCTCCGGACTGTAAGCCAAAATCCTACAACAGAATTCCTAATCGTCATAAAATCTGTCCTTGATAAAAGAAATTTATGAAAATGATGTTTGTACCTCTGTTGGTTGTCCTGCGGCTGCCAGGCAGCGATCGCCGTTTCCGTCAGCGGCGAGAAAAGGATTTTATCGTCGCGAGGATCGACGACCAAAGCAAGACCTGGACTGGACTTCCGGCCGACCAACGTTACCGGAAGCTGTTCACCAAAAGGCAAAGGACCCGCTTGAAGCGCCATTGTTGGCACGCTGAAGATTCGATCGGTCGCCAACGGCTGATAATACACTAACCCGAGCCGGGGGGAGAACGCCATTCCTACGACACCGTCCAGCAACTCGAACGTGTCGCTGCCGATCTGACAGAGAATTTCTTTTTGTACTTTGCTGCAAAATGCCAAAATCAGCTCGCCAAAGCTCGGAGCAGAAACGTTACCCTGTAAGTAGAGAAATCTGGATTCGGATACATGGAAGCGTGCACGACGCGCCAACTTCTCTCCGTGGCGCCGTCGAAAACCAATATGCCTGGAAAAGCAACTCGATGAAAAACCAAAAATCGAACTGGAATAGAAATGATTAGGAATGTTTAAGTTCTCTAACCGGGTCCTGCGGTATCGGTGATGTAGAGGAACATGTCGTCGCAGGTTGTCGCTGCAACATCGTCCAGAACAACGTTCGTCAGCAGCGTGTTGGGTCTCAATACCTGCAACCAGAATAATTCTTATTACCGAAACACCACGCTCGTCTGGATTTTATAAAATAAAGCACGACACGACACGACACGACACGACACACGACACCCACCTCTCGAGGAAACGTAAACTGACGCGCCAACTGGTCGGTTTGCAGATCAAAGACCAGAATTTTCGGCGAGCAAACCGGTCTGAAGTCGTCGATCGAAGTCATTATACCGCTGTCAATGACCCATAATCTGTTACACCTGTCGATCCTGGACCTGTACACCGAAATCATTTTCGAGCAATTCAAGTCTCCTCTGCCTGCGCTGTGCCAATCCCAGGACGGATAGGCCTGAAGCTGCGGGCTGCTTTCTAACGGGAGATTCCTCGGGATGTAGTTCAAGGTCGCGGGTACACCCGCACGTAGCCTTGGAACGCTGACAAAGATCTTGTCCCAGCCAACCGTGATGCCAGTTGGCACCACGTTCTCGGGACGATACCGATTCAGGAACTCTCGATCGTACGGAAGAGCAAAATCCAGTAGCGGCCATTGGGCTACCGTTTCTAGCATTTCTGCGCTCGTCCAGCCGATGGACGAGCCTACCAGAACAACTACAACAAGACACCTGCAATCGATAGATAGTAAGGTGATGTTGGACGGTACCACGAGAGAGATAGACAGAGAAATAGTAATACATATGTATACATAGATCTCAGCCTGTAATCCGAGACATTGCTTCGAGCTTAATTAAGACTCGATTTACATGCGTCTGCCGATATCTGATCGTTCAGCAGACCCAACCAAGACGTTTTTATCCTCTTTATTGTGTATGTATACTTGTGGTTCGGTTCCATTTGAACGTTCCCTATGCGAAAGTGCCGTCACTTTTTCTCGCCGGTTTGCACGTTTAAACGTTTAAACGTTTACACGTTTACACGTTTGTTTTCCATAATAAACACCGTAAATGTAAATAACGCGAGTTAAGTCACGATGATAAATTTGTTGAAACGAGTAATCGATCGAACTGTGGTGTTCGTAAAGAAACAAGAAGCGAGTTTCACTTTATAAACCGATTGTCTTCTTTCGTTCTTGAGACCGCGACCGTCCGCGAGCTTACAAACATCGCTTCCGGTGCAGTTTACGACAATGGACGTCCACGTCGCTCGCCACACAATCGTGTGATTTAACTTTTCTTCTCTTTATTTTCAAACTTGTGCTTCCGAGAATATTTGCGTACAAAGCAAGGATAAAAAGTAACTGGTATCTTAAAAGTAAATTTTTAAGTATCAATAGATGAGTTTATCGAACTAATACACTTTTCATCTTTAAACTAAACCGATTCCCGACGTTCGTTCGTCGTTAAAAGTCTCAAGTTTTTCGTTTTTCGTTCAAAACGCACTATTTATGGAGAATATTTAAAGATAAACTTTCCCTAGCGAGCACACGATCTTGATCTTGAACTGATCGGATGTTTTCGCTTTACCGTTGCATATGTATACTATTACGAACGACTGGTTTATGCAAATATGAGATCGCGTCTCGTCCAATTCACGTTTTGCTCCCTCCTCCCTTATCTGATGGTTCATCAAACAAACAAACAAACAGAATTTTAACCGTACGATGACACTTTGATATTTCCGATAACGTTCGACACACCGTAGAGAAATTATTTGACAAAATTGCGAAACAGAGTGATTGGAAACTCGACGAACGGAGTTTCGTGTTGCGTGTCAAAACTAATCTACAAAGAGACATATTTATAGTTGTAGAGCATAAACGAGTGTAGGTAATAGTTGTGCGACCGACCACCTGCGTCTGATAAACAATATTCCAACTTGTACCAATGTGTTTTCCTTGCCCCCCAATCGGGTCTTATAATCCTTGTACCAAGGCGTGTCTGGGTAAAATGACATTTTACTTTTGTTGCCGGATATCTCGGTGACATGCACGATTGTCGTTGTCCAATCTTTCATCGAACAGTAAGTATGTATGTATTTTCGTCGAAATCTTGCTGAATTGTAAAATTAGATACTCGAGCGAAAGTTATTATTTCAATTTCTAATACGAAATACCACGTTGCGTCGTGATGAAAATTTATCGCGGTGTTGTTGAAAAGTTATGTTTATTTCATAGTTCGAACTGGCCTACAGGGAGCCAAAAAGTTGCATCAATTTAAGAAGAATCACTGTTCGAATATACAATATGTATGTACGTAATAATAGGGATACTCGGAGAAACAGAAATATGTATTACAATTTTTCTATCTAACGGAGCATAAACGATTATGGTAGATTTTACGCAATCGAAAGGTATCGATCATAGAATTTCAACAAAGTCACGGTCCCAATGTCCCGCTCCAACAACTTTTTACGATCTACGAGTCCCGAGTGGTTGATAACTAGAACCATTGCACCATTTAAATGCAAATATCTCTGCTTCTATAAGCACAAAAATCTTTCCAATGATATACGAATGAAAATAAAATATGTGTGTAGTAGGACAGTGGTGTGTGCAACTTACGTTAAACTTGCGAAGAAATAATTAATTGTACGAAGGTGAAAATAAGACACAAACAAATTGATAACCACGTGGAGCTAATCTGCCGTTCGATTCGCTCGTTCGGTTATTATTTCTCATCGAAATCAATTTAAGGGAACTGTGCACGACGTGCACGCGTAGAAACGATGAAAGAAACCAACCTCATTCTGCGTGAAAAAACTTTGATTTCGGAGAACGGGAGTAGCAATTTCCGCGTAAAAGTCGAAGGAAACGCGACGGCCACCGGCTAACGTCTGACGTAGTAAGTAGGTACTTATCCGATCGGCTCGAACACCAAGCCTGTCGCAAGGAACGTGTACCAAGTACCGCTGCCCGAACACCGACTGATCCAATTTCCTACCATCGACTCGGATCCTGACTGTCTTCGAGACAAGAAGGCAACCTTACAGCAAAATGGGCATATTGTGTAACGACACGTTCGAGTTGGTGCGTGCACCACCGACACAACACACCCACTCCATCACGAATTCTGTTCGACGATCTTTCGTGACATTCAGTTTCACACCCGTGAGACTCTGCCGTATTCGCTCGAAAGGTCAACGATCGAATAATTTCCAACGATCTCTGCCAGTATCTCGAGAGTCACTTACGCGAAAATCGAACGACTTTGAAACTTGAATTTTATGCGAGAGTACATGCATGATCCGTCAGACACGTATAGAAACGTTAAGTTTACAGAAATTACGCCATCACTCGATGCCAGTTAACGGCTGATGCCAGAGGTGCGAGCACCGCCTCGATCATTAATTAAGACGTTCCAGCTTATGCTTATTAATAACGTTAGAACGCCTTTCGAGAAATCTGATATCGATAAAGGGAATCGGTAGCGCTCTCGATATGGATCACATCGCAAGTCATCGAGAGCGATTTATAACACAGAGCCTGACATTTCTGGCCATCATGTACAAGAATTTAAACTATTATCTCATTAAAATTGAAATAATTGATACGTTTTGTTTGTAAAACTAGCGACAATGTTGACCAGGGACCAAAAACGTACGAGTATTGGCAAGAAGTGGGCGCGGTCTGTATAGTTCCGGGGACTTTCGATCGGGGTTAGGTACTTACCAAGGACAGCTACATAACATTTACCATAATCATGGTCCGCACAATTGCCATTTTCTTCGCGTACCGGTTTCCAAACGCGTGTGGGGGATACCGGTGTTGATTTTAATCGCGGCATTCGTCGGTTCATTTGCTCGTTAAGTATGTCTCGACGTGTACTTGGAGAATAAATCAGGTGTGGAAGATTAGAAAATTGAAGGACGTTCCGGGTCGCGAACCCATATGGCTCTGCCATAGAAATGGAGAATAAGGTCCACCGGGAGTCTGTTTTTGCATCGAGATCGAAGTAAATTACACAACAGTTCCCCACGTCGCGTCGCGTCGCGTCGCGTCGTTGATACAACGGCGAGATGACCTATGGAAGAATAAAGCATTTTGGGCTTACGCAAGTTAGGCTACTCGAACTATCATGGGAATAGCGAGCAGTCGCACGAAATACCGGATGCTACGAAATCTCACTGTTTCCCGTTTTCAACGATCGATCTTCCGAAACTAGTCTGCCTAATTTTAGCGACAACATTTTTTAACCGAATTACCTTACAGAGAATTTCGAGAGTAGTTTTTGCCCAATCGAATATTTCCGAGAAAAATGGAGGGAAACTAACGGAATTATGGAATTTTTTATAGGTGGGAGGAAACTAATAAAAAGTTTCACGAATGTCACGATTTTAAGCACACCTAAGTGCTGCCGCGTTGCATAATTGCGTGGTGTTCGGAACTTGGCAAGAATTGCAAGATAACTGGAGGAATTACGTAAAGCAGTTCTCAGCTATTGATGTGTTCTCGTGCCGAATTGATTTTTTTTATGGGCCTGGAACGCCGTTGTGCGGCGTGGTGCGGCGTGGCGCGGCGTGGCGCGGCATTGCGTACATGTACCTACATAGATACATGTCCGGCTTGGAAAGTTCGAGTGCAACCACTCGACCGTGCTGCACAGCATTGTCTCGTACAACAGGCCGGTTCAACGCAAACAGTCTTACACGCTCCTACGATCGAAAAGTTGCGGGGGTGTCGATGAAAACTAGAAAATAATAATCCTGTCGATCCTCCAACGGCGCACAATCGGACATTTTCTTGCCAAACGCGATAAAAAAAAACACATTCCAGGTGAAATAATATTCCACCGTGGAATAAAAAAACTATTGATCGATTTGACAATTTCGGAATTCTATACTTAAAGTTACAGAACTCGTAAATATTACTTGTCAGGTGGTTTCGATAAAAATAGCACAATCAACGTCTGTAAATCTAATAGTATCGAGTGGACAGATTATCGACGCTGAAAATCGCGAGGTAAAACCGTTTCTTAGCAATTTGTCATTAGAAATTCTTAAATGTCCTGCTGTTTTCACCGAGGGTGTTTTTCGCGCCCTCGATCTCGTGCAAATCCGATTAATCCGATAGGAGACAAAGGCATGCGTGCGTGCATACGTTTCCCGTTCTTTATTTTTCACCGTAGAATAATTATTCAAGTGTGCAGCGTATCCACTTTGTACGCTAGATCGGATTATGCAGACCATAACAATAACGGTTTCCGGAATCTTGATCGAGTCCTGCCAACTTTATGAAATGAATTCGCTCGTGATAACCGTGTTGGCCGATAACATCGAAATAATTCAATAACTTTCCTTATTCCGATGCCTATAATCGCATACCGTCGCGTCGGAGATCTTTCGTTTGATTTATTCTTTCGGTTCACGATTATGCGAATACATAATTAGATCGCAACAACATAAAATATACATCTAGTTTTAACTTGTACCATTAATTAGACTGTTGGTAAAGGCATTATGTTTTCTTAATTTTTGACTGGCAGAAATAGAGAGAATCGTGGGCAATTATAACGATCGACTGTCAATTAGAAATCTGATTGGTGGAAGGCTAACTAGGGCGCCCGACTCGATACGCAATTTCCAATTCCTGTCGCGGGTTCGATCTTTCTTTTTTTACTTTTATACGTTCTTAGAGTGTCTCCGGG